GTGACCAGGGCCAGCTCTCCCCGGGTCCAACATCGCTCATAAGAGCAGTTCCAGCAACCCATACTCACGTGGCTCAGAATACCTGTTCCAGATGGTCTACGTTTCCAACAAATTCTTCTTAAACGTGAGATTTAGAAACCACCAATGCTGTTGCCCTATTAGCCACTCCTTCCCTGACAACTGCTTCAAAAACTTAGCTCAAAATGACTCCGTTCACAAGTAAAAACCATGGCATAAATACATAGAAAAGACGATCTTTTCTCGTTTGATTTATGGCAAGGAGATGATGGTCTTGCTCAGAGAATTTCAAAACCTGGGAGCTCACACACCTCAGTCCATGAGCAACTCCAGAGTATGAGTCCAGCCCTGCTGTAGGAATTTAGTTCCAGGCCTTATACTGTGAAGGTATAAGAAGGTTCTGGGTTTGAGTCCCCGGGGGAACCAGGACCTTTATGGGTGGAGTCTGCATGTTCTCCATGTGTCTGCGGGTTCTCTCCGGGTTCTCCGGCTTCCTACCACCGTCCAAAAACCTGCATGTTAGGTTGATTGGACATTCCAAACTGCCCTTAGGAGTGAATATGAGTGTGTGTGGTTGTTGGTCCTTGTGTGTATCTGTGCGGCCCTGTTATGGACTGGCGTACTGTCCAGGGTGTACCAAGCCTCTTGCCCACTGAGCACTGGGATATGCTCCAGTTCTCCCCAATGACCCCATTAGGGAATAAGTGGTAATGATAATGGATGACTGGATGGATGGATAATGGATGGAAGGACCTCATACTGTGTGAAGGGGTTGAATTCAACTATATCTAGTTAGTGTTGCTCAACCGCCAATAAAATGATGTTCCATGTGAAAAGGCAGCTGAGGTTGACCAGGATCAGCATGAGCTGACCCTCACCCTCTGGATCACTATGGATCTGGCTAAGTGGAATGTTATGCAAAATTCCCCATGAGTGGTGAGTCAGCGTGGATGTGGGCTCCTGTTCCTCCCCAGGTTGAGACTAGCCAATCCCCAGAAGCCTAACCAAGCCCCCCCCCAGAGGCCGGCCCTCTCAGGAACTCAGCCTGACCCCACCCTTTTTTCCATGGGAGACCCTCAGCTATCGCGGGCTTTCATCCCCTAAAACACAGCTCTCAAGATTATGGAGAGGGATGTAGTATTTATATAAGACACTGGATAAATCACCATGGATAACAAACGTGTAAAAATTCCCATTTGTTGTGCCTTACAAATAAATACAGTGCGACTGTCTTTACTTACTGTGGAATTCTGGATTTTCCGAATTCAGACGATTCTTTTGGGCCTCGATAAACAGCTGCAGGGTCATTCCTCTGGCTTTGGACTGATTACTGAGGAATCGAGCGGGGACGTGTCCCATGAGGTCGGGTTCGTCACAACCAAAGCCAAGATCCAGGAGGATTTCCTCCGCGTCGTCATCCCACAGGTTGTATCGATCCATCACACTGCAGACAGGCAAAGAGGCAAATGAGCATTCTGAGGAGCTGAATATGGTTTGGAACCATAGACTATTTACATAGCCCCTATTTACATAAATGTGTGATTTTGAGTGCTATGATTTCAGGTTAGGAAAGGATTCTTATAGAATTATTGATGGATCCAGTCTACCTGATGAGGACTTATTATTCAAAGGAAAGCTAAACACAATTTCCTGAGAAAATATCACTCAGTGTGCAAATATTTATTTGTATAAAGCGAATTTTGGACTGCTGGCGTTGTAAGTTATTTTGAAATTACATGCATATAATAAATTATCTGAATTTTTTTTAAAAAATTCACATTGAAGCACCAGAAGCACATTTAATGTAGATAGAGAAAAAGGATAAACGATAAATCTTCATTGCCATTGTACCGACATACAATGTAAAGTAGTAAAACTGACCCACATAAGGTACAGTGGTGGACCTTCTCTGCTGGCCTAAAAGTTTTAGAATTCAGATAGTGTTTTAGGCTAAAACACTATCTGAATCACCAACTTGAAATTAATTACATTTCATCTCTAGATACATATTAAATATCCCAAACGGTCTGTCCACCTTCGTTACCAGTGTAGCCTTCCTCCATTGTAGCAGAGACAACTTTAACCTTCATCCAGCCATCGTCCATAACATTCTTAGCTTCAGAACTAAAATAATTGTTAAAGATCATTAATACGAGACATAAGGGCAGAAGTATTGTGGGTATAAAGTAAAACTAAGTTAAGTGTACTAGCAATGCCTCACAATGCCTCACACTGTATGTAGCCAATGCATAACCAGATTAGACTATTTCGCTGTGCATTTTTAATAACAGATTGTTTTTCCTCATGCCAGTCAAAACAGGAATAACAGACCTAGGAGATGGTAGTTATGTCAAGCAAATGAAAGCTCTATTGATCCACAGCTGCTGTACGTTCTGCTTTTCTTCTAAATAGCCAATTGTTACATTAACCCAAAACATTCCTGCAACTACTTCCATGTCCATTCTATTACAAAAACTAGAAAAGGGTTAAATCCTCTTATAGTCTAACCCTAAATCTTGTATAATTTTTTTTCCCTCTAACCTGTAAGCAACAAGCAGGACCACAGCTTCAAGTCTAACTAAGAAAGAGACAATAACAATAACTGTGTCAATATAGTTTGATAAACATTGTTTGACTAGTTTGCATTATAGTTACTACTATGATGTAGTTTTAGTAGTAATTACATTATAGTGCATTATCTTTAGGGGGATAGTTACTACCTAAAGCAAAGATAATAATTTAACATTGCTACGTCTCCTTAAAACACAACAGCTGGATGGGAAAGTAGTACTTTCAAGGTAAAATTAGAAACAACAGCAAAAGTTAATAAAAAAACAGGTAACTCACTGTGTCTTCCCCCAACATTAGTTTCTTGAGACGCTTTTAGATCCCAGCAATATTTAGCCGCCTTCACATATCTAGCCAGTTACAAATCAAAATGCTGACAAAACAACCTAAGATGGTTAAAAATTACGTAACCAAACGCTAGACAAAGCCTAGATGGTGGAAACGTACAAGAGGTTGAGGCATAACAGGCAATTTGCTGTGCATCAAGCTCTCTCAAGCACATTTGCATGTTTTTGAATACATTTGCACTTGTGTTGGCTTGGAGACGGGTGTGGAGCAGAATACGTCCACTAAATGAATAATTCAAAGTGTAAATTAAATCAAAACGGAGGGGAAAATCATTTCAAATGACCTGTTTGAAGTTTAGTTGTTTAGGAATATATTAAAATCTGTTTTTGATTTAAGGTCATATGGGGGAAAAAAAGCTCTAAAACAAAAACTATCAGCTGTCATGTCATAAAATAACTCAAGGGATTACTGTTCTTTAGTTGATGGTGTCCGATCGTAATACTGTACGATCAGTTTGTAACTACATTCAGTCATCTGTTCATAAATTCATCCACAAGGACCACAGAGCCTTTGCTCTGCTGTCTGTTAGTGATGTTATTGATACGTTATTGAGTCGTTTCGATAATTAAAACAGAATGATCTTACCATCAAACGGAACTGAATACAACAAAGATGCAAGTCAACCCAGAATATCGACATGTCTCCAGGTTAAGTAAGACTCATGACTTACGTGGCCTTGCCTTTTAGATTTGCCAGTGCTTTGCATTTTCTCACAAACATAAATTGCAGTAAAGTACTCATTTGTGAAAAGAAAGAGTGAGAGATTAAAAAAGGAAATATTTTGTTTTCATTTTTTCACATAATCATTTTTTTAATAAATCCAAACAACTGGAAAGACTTCAGTTCCAGTCAGTTAGTGCCCGTCCACAAAATCTTACTTCTCAGTTCACTTATTTTAAACCAGTAATGGAAAAATACTTCTCTGTTTTTTTTGGAGGTCTGAATTTCCAGGCAAGAGTTACATTTCTACTAACCACCTCCACTGCACTTTTTAAAGTTCTCCTTTTCCTGGAAGCTCCTCTTAATCAGACAATCATTTTAAGCTTCCATTTCTCCTCAATGAAAGACAGACACATGATCTCATAAAGCCTGACTCAAATCTATGTATGAATGGTGTATGAAAGATCTAGAATGAAAGACGGTGTCTAATGCCTGCCCGACAATAAATACACCGATGTTTTCCAAAAAGCTCTTAATTATCTTATTTTGTTAACTTAATTATGACTGTGATCTCACATACTTTGGACCGTCCGGCTGTGGCTGGCTTAAATCCAGGGGGCTCATTCCGCCGACTTGGCAGTTGTAAAAATCGTAAGCAGCAGGTTCCATCCACAATGAGGAATTCCAGGTTTTTTCTCCTCTTCAGGTGTATCACAACAGCGTAAGGCTAGAAGTATAGAAACGTTTAATCTTCATAGAGATATTCAGATGGGAGTCACCTCTTACTGGTCCAATGCTCATGTTGAATGGCCTCCCAGACAAGATTTCAGAAGGGCTAAGACTGGTGTCTCAGTCTGGCCCTCATTTGCATGAGTACCACAGGCAGAGGAATTCTCCTGGTCAAACCAGTTTGTTTACAACATTATGCAATCTGTTTTTTCAGTGGAGGGTTTTCTGGCTCCTCCATTGGCAGCAGAATGTATACAATGTTAGCACATTTTAATTCATGATGCTCATCCACCTGTACTAGTCCTGTCCAAAGCGCTCTACAAATAACCTAATATTAATGTTACTGGTACAATACTCTACTTTAGAAAGAACGTACTAATCAGGGAATCAGAATCTGCATTAATAAACCAGCACACGGAACAAAAATCATTCATGTTGAGAAGCCCACGATGTTCTCGGATGCCAATGCAGATCATTCTGATTGGATCAAGTTTAGGACCACCCTGCATGTTGCTATTGGGGGAAAAAAAAGAAAAAGTCATGCTAAAATCTCTAATCCATGGAAGGGGTCTTGTCAGATCAGGCAATCATATATATTATATATATATGTATAGTATAGCATAGTCCTGCTCATCACAAAACATTAAAATGACAAAAGAAATACTTAGTACATTGCACACCTTTGAAATAATGTATTTATTAAAATGTAATTTGTTCATTTATTAAATTAGTTTGAGCTAAAATTATACATTGCATGTTTACATTTTGTAATTCAGACATTTACATGGAAATCTGTGTGTGACAATATAAAAAGAAAGGCATTCTCTCAGCTATTCCAAGTGAGTCTAAATCCTGATGGCAATGTGGAGTATTGTGCTTGGAAAACTATGTAGACCTGGTTTGAGGAGGCTGTAAACGGAGCAATGTTGGTTTCCTAAACAAACAACATAGAGAGGAGAATATTAACGTCATTTCTTTAAACGATGATTATGATGTTTGTGTAGAAAATAATAAATAAATCATATTTGTTTTAGATCTTGGGCATTTTAATACAAATCTTTACTGCTTTTATCTACATACCATTCCACAGTAAGGTCCAACAGGAAGTGAGGAATTGTTAGGGCCATCATACAACTTCAAGAAGTTGTTTAGACAGTCTCCTCTGTCATCTATGCTGAGCTGGTAAAAGTTGACAGTCACCACACGACCTCTGGGAGCTACGATCCCCCACTCACAATGAGTCGCGTTCGGATAAGTTCCCGGGTAGTTGGGGCTTGCGAATGAGCCATGGTCTCCGTACAAAGTACCACCACAACCTTCAACCACAAACAAAAAGCAAGCAAAGCAGTTGGAAGACTTGTACAATGTTCAATCGCAAGAAAAACGCTTCCATTATACATTAATTCACATGTTTTCAACAAATATATCAACTTTAAACCCAATAAAATAACATAGCATTAAAAACTTTGCACAAAAGTTCCATAATCTATTCAATATAACTGTTTTTACATACTTGGTTCAATACCACTTACATATAACATACTCTGTAAATGTAAAACTACTCAGCTAAAACGGATTATGCTCGCATGTTAGCGTTGATTCATTTTACAATTCTTCCAAAATCCAATTGCACACAAAAGCCTGAACAGTTTTCCTGCTCTGCTCGTGACTGTAAAATTGTAGAAGTCTATCTGAATGTAAAGAAGGCCGTTCTGACCGTGAGGGGAGGATGTCCAGGTGGCATCGAAACCATCTCGGCTGTGGGAGAAGTCACTCTTGAAGCGTAAGTAGAGCAGGCCGGATTGTGGAAAGATGGGGCTGGGCAGGCTGCTGCCACAGAAGCGTCCAATCATCGGGGATTCTGCTGTACTTCCATTACGAACCTGAGGCCCAAATATGCACTTTTAAAAAGCAAACTTACAGCAAACAAATACTGTTCAGGATTAACAGCAATATTTGATCCAAAAGCACAAACTTTAAAATATATAAAATGTGATGACCCAAAAACTATGTTATAGGTACCAATTTACAATTGATTTACTATATATAATTTACTTTTTGGATGTTGTTTTTGGTTTTTGTCTCTAGTCCATTGACAAATATGGATGAAACAATGTAAAAGTCTGATATCTGAATAAGTGAAGTTGGTGGCAGAGTGAGAGTTTTAAATAATAATTACAGCATTCGTGATGCATGTCTTGTAAATAATTGTCAATAAAAAAATAGTACTTTTTAATTTCTGATTATTATTTTTCATGATTACCTTTCTCTTGAAGCTGAATTGCATTCTGAAATATTTTTCTAGAGGGTAGTTTGGCATTCCATTTTTAAAATTATTAATAAAGCTTGTTCACAATACTTTAGTAACAAGAAGACCATATGAAAATAGTATTGGTACAAAATGGTAGTACAAAGATACATTTTGTACAGGTCTCCCTAAATTTTCAGCTTCATCAACAAGTGTTTCAAGTGGAAGACAAACATTATACTCAATATGTATTTTGTTATTATTATTATTATTATTATTATTATTATTAATATTATTATTATTATTATTATTATTAGTAGTAGTAGTAGTAGTAGTATTAGGCAGGCTTTAAATATGGTGTCATTCCTCCTGGCAGAATGTGAGCAAATTCAAACTAAATTAAAGCCCATAAATAATTTTGGCCAAACCATTGGGTGAGGTGGTTGTAGATGAAACAGAGAAGACAGATTTTGCCACCTAAATAAGATGATACAAGTTTCATACAGAAGAACAAACATCTATGCCTTGCCCCATACCTCCAAATAGTCATATTGACAATTGGTGTGGCTTTCCAGGTCAAAATTGTTGAAGAAGAGCGAGATGTAGCTGCCCTGTGGTGCCTTCAGGATGATGACGCAGTCACTATTGTGGGGGTAAACATCTGGCCAGCCAGGGCTTTTGAAATAGCCATATTCTTGTTCATAGGTTCGGCTGCAGTCTGGAAATTTAAAAAATCAATGTCAGACCACCAAATATTAACTAACACCTTCATTTTCGCTTTATATATTTAGAATTTATTGATTCTGATATTGATTCTGATTCTGATTCTGATTTACTGTTGCTTCAAGAAAGAGGCATTGAGTTCATTTTTGTTTTTACAGACGAAGAGGTTGCTCCTTTTTCATTTACTGTATAAGACTTGTTCTATAAATTTCACTGCTATCCAAAATGTCTAGAAAAAAAAGCCTACTCTTGATTTTATGCTTCATTAATAAGTTGTATAATAATATCCAAAGTAAAGAAGGAGGAATTTTGAAGAATATTTTCATCTTGTTACTTATAATCAGTATCACCGATACCTACTGGCAATTCGATAAGTGAATCTGAGGCCATTTCCTTCCATGAACATGTCAGATTTGAAGTGCACCAGGGTTGTCCTACTGTAACTGTAAAAGTCTGGAGGATGAGCATCCACTGCACAGAACTTGTGCGACTGTCCATGATCTCCCTGGGAACACAATAATTAAATTAACAAAAAGAAAACTGTGAAACCTTCCTGCATGAACAAACTCTTAAGTATAGGTTACTATGGTTACATGGAATTAATGTAAGACTGTATGTAAAATACAAACAATACAACTTAATGGAGATTAATCATTCAGGGTGCTCATGGTCTAAAAACCAGGAAAATGTGCAGAAAACATACAGTATATATTGAATATATTGAAACACCACTATACTGAATGAAAGGCGGGTGCGGCAAATTGTTGAGGTAGTTTGACCCTGGACACTTTTCTAGTCCATCACAGGGCCACATAAAGACAAATGAGACATACAACCAGGCACACTCACATTCCAACTTAAAATCAGTTCAGAGTTGCCAATAACACACGGAAAGAGCCTCTACAATCCTAACCACAACAATTTAATAATATAATATACTGTAATATAATATAATATAATAAGTGAGTTTTGACTGCACATGAGCAGTCAAAAATCACTTATTCTGATACAATTTAAGGTATTCCAGCCATTCAAACATCTAAACATAAAGCTATATTAGGGGTTGTGATTTGTGTTGCGTATAAATCATAAGAATTAATTTTTTTTTAGTTTTAATCATATTTTTTTCTAGATATTTTTTTCTGGTGTTTTATAAAATATAGCTGTGAAATGATTGGTCCAGCTTTCACCCTGAAAACCAAAGCGTTTGGCTTTAGTACATTAGTAAGTACAACTAGAAAGTTCATACTACTTCACCTTGTGCCTGCTTTCGCAAATAATTCAACAATGCGTGGATTGACTATCATTTTCAACTTTATTTCTGTAAACTCAATCCACTCTGCCTGCCTTTCATTTGAAACTTGCAAAATATATAATTATTCTTTTTTCTGTTTACTGAAAACAAAAAAAAACTTTCTGTAATTTAATATAACTATAGACTAAAGTTTTATTCATAATTGTATTTTTCAAAAACGGGAAAACAATACCAATATTTTCATTGACTACTATCCAGATCCTTTTGAACCAGTCTGGGTCTAAACTCACCAAAGGCCAGTCTTTCATCTCCAAGAAATTTGTCGCACAACTTTGGGTAGGAGCGAGGACAAACACTTCGACTGATACTTGAATGGTTTCCTGGAATGGAGCGTCCAGAATCCAACGACAGTTAGTATAGGGAGGATATCCACTCGGGAAGGATGGAGACGTCAAGGTCTGTATGGCGGTGGTGGCGTTTAGAGTCCCACCGCAAACCACTAAGGAGAAAGCAGATACATGTAGAAATAGTAATTAAAGCCAAATTATTATTTGTTTTTTTTAATACAAATGTGGTCAGTTGCAATCCAATAATGAATGACGATGCCCAGATGAAATGTACATTGAAAATCGAGGGGAAAGTCTTACATGGTAGGGCTCTGTAGGTAGCGTTGAAGCCCTGCCTCTGCACTGAACCGTCTGTGACAAAACGAATCGTCAAGAAGTTTCCACCAGACACAAAGGTAGGAGGGATAGAGGAGCCACAAAATGTTCCGACCAAAGGGAAGTTCATGTTGTCACCATCATACACCTGGGAAATCAACACACATTTAAAAACATAGCAAAACCATATTTGCTAAGCTTTTGTTCTTTAGAGTACATTAATGAATAATAATAAATGCTCAGATTTTTACTTCGAGTAAAATCCATAACTATAGTTAATATTTTGCATGAAAATGAATTAATCCCTATTAAGAGGTGTGTGGCTTTACTTTGACATAGTCGTAGCGGCAGGTGGAGGAGCTCTCGAGGTCAAAAGAGCTGAAGGTGAGATTTATGGCCTGGTTCACTGGCATCTCAATGGTCCAAACACAATCCATCCCCGGCTCATAGCGTCCATCCAGGTTTGGATCCGGGGAACCAAACATGCCCATAGGCATGGACAGATAGCCACCACATCCTTGTGCTGGCCCTGGAAGGCAATTCAGGGACACAAAAACATTTTTAAATTGTAATTCTTAACTGTGGTTACTGATTGTTTGTTTGGAAAAAGCCAGATAGAATGTTAATGTTTGCCTTTTCAAAGTTGAACTTTGTGATATACAAACCATAGGAAAAAAAACATGTCAGACATGGATCAAAATGTTTCCAGAGAGTCCCGGTATAAACCAGCTCATGGACACATCACTTGAACATGTGGGGGGACATCTTATAAGTATGACTGTGTGTACATAGAATGAAATAATATTATCCAGTAAAGATTCTATGTATCAAACTAGCTGATTTCAGCCCAGTTACATCAGCATCTTCCACTTCGGCCCATGGAGACATGAATGCATCATGTGATTTATTCAGAATTTACTCCTGCTGCCATTTTCTGTTTCAAGTGTTATATTATTGGGCACTCAAACCTATCGAGTTCTTTATTCATGGTGTTTGTATCACGTTTGTGCTCTACTGCTCCATATAAAATACAAAAACCAGACTGACCATAGCAGGAAGCATAAGGTCAGAAAAAACATGCATTATTGATGACTGTTACATTATCATTCAAAGATAATACTGATACAGATTATTGTCTTTATGTATCTTTATGTATTTTTGTTTTTAATGTTTGAACTTTGGTCTGTTTTGGGGGATTTTGTTTAATCTTTTTGTCTTATCAAGTTTCCTTGTCAGTCATTTAGACTATTTTTGTTGACTTTTTTTTAAGTATTGATTTTTCTTTTTGTTCACATTTGTGCGACAATCTTCTTAGTTATTGAATGGTTTCTTCCGTTTTAAACTGACTGTGTGTACCTGATTAATAGTAACTCTTCTTTTCTTTGACTCTGTTTTCTACTGCCATTTTAAAAGAAAAACCTTTTTTGAGAATATTTTGAGAAAACCAGTATTTGAAATTCCATTTTATTCTGACTCAGAGACAGCAGATGTACTGCTATCTTTCCACTACTTTCCACTATTTCTAACTGAAATGATGTTAAAATACTGCCTTACCAAGTGTTTGACTGTATACAGCTCTCCAGCCGATCCCATTCACTGAGGCATCTGTCCTGAACACGATGAATAGCTTGTTGGAGGAGGAGCGCAGATTAGGGGGCATCGCTGTACCACAGAATTTTCCCAGAAGGGGCGCAAAGGTGTCCTGCCCATCATACACTGCCACATAGTCATAGCGACACGAAGAAGATGCCTCAAGGTGGAAGGTGTTAAACCTGTGGACAGAAAAAAATGACCAAAACAAATATTTTTTACGCTTTCAAAAATGACTATCTGTTTCTTACAGTTGACTCAGAGAGAGATTTTTCTCATTCGTCACTGATTAATGGGGTGGGATGAGGTTGAACCTTCACCCATGCTATTTTATAGAACCTTGACCCAGCCAAAGTGCAAGACAAGAGGGGAATATGGGAGCAAAAATTAATGATTTTTAAATAGTAAGAGCTCCATATTGTGGCATAGCTTCCTTTACCGTTGTTCAAATATCCCGAGGAGATGTTTCCATGTCCAGTAAAATCTTATTACACTTAATCTTATTATATTATTTAAAGAAAATGCACTTACTTTAAATCGACCACTTTGTCTTCCCTGACTTCTATATGGTAGGTACAGTTTATGTTATGGTGGTAGTTGGCCATGGACAGGGCTGGACTGCTCACTGTCCCCATAGTGCTGTTGAAGAAACCGCCACATGCTGTGGACACACACACACACTATGAATACTACAGTAGCATATAGTATTATACTACATAGTGCAAATATAACAATATATTCCAATAGTATATAAATATAGTAGTAGTTATATGTATTTATATAGTATATAAATATAGTGGTGCTACAATAAAAATGGAATTTTTACATAATGTTTCAAGTGAATGCACAAATTCTATCTTAACCTATCTTACTTAACACATATCTATACAGACATAAATATTCTTTCTTTATCCAGAGAAGATTTGATATATGATTAAAAAGAAGATATGAAAATATGTTGCATGGTACAAAAATGTTAAATAAAATGAGTGTTTATTTTTATTTGATGGTTTAGTTTGTAATTATCATATTACTTACGAATTGCTCTGTACTCTGCCATGAAGCCACGACTGCTGACCGAAAAGTCAGAGTAGAAATGCAGTCGCATGGGACCAAAAGTGGAAAAAGGCCCCGGTATGCTGGTGCCACACAGAGTAGCAAGAGGGGTGCTACTGGTAAGTAGGTTGTAGATCTTCAGACCGTCATGAATACACGTGGAGTGCGCTGGACAATAGACAGAACAAATATAAATAACTTAGTTTAAACCAAACCAAGGCCTCTGCTTGTCATTTTAAATCTATATTCTTAACGCTAACATTTACCTTCTAACTGGAACACTTGGAAGGTGAGGATGATCACAGTCTTGTCGCCAGCATCTATCGTGTAGTTGCAGTTGGATCGGTCAGGGTAGTTAGCTGGGTAATTTGGGGAGGAAACACGTCCACTGGAGGCCGTGAAGTTCGCACCACACCCTTGTGAGCAGAAGAGATGTACCGAAGTAAAGTATCCCTACTTACCAAAGACTCAAAATAATCTGAAATCAATCACAAGCTTTAGAAAAAAAACAACTCTGCTAGTTGCAGTCACAAATATTGTGACTGTTTAGGTGTTTCCGGCTGGCATAACAATTCTCAAATCTACCAGGAGAAATAAAATAAAAGAGTTAAGACTGCTTACAGTAACAATACCCATGAAAAAATTGAAAAGTAACAAAAAAGAAAAAGAAACATGATAAAAAAGAAAAGACTAACAGCAAAACAACATAGAGATACAAAATATTGCCCCAAAACTATAAACGTCGAAGATTGAAAAGCAATCTAAGAGAAAAAAAAAAAGAATCCAACAGAGACTAAGACATTTTCTAGAAAAGTTGGATACAGGGTAACAATTAAAACAGCATTTTCAGGTGCTAAACGTAGGACAGAAGAGCACTGATACACTGAATTGTTTTAGTGTTGGACATTTCTCAGCATTTGGCTAACAATAAAAAGTTTGAATCGTGTCAAGCACAAAATACCTACCCCAAAATTCTGGAGTAAGAAGTCACCTTCATAATACAATTTAAGAATACATAGAACAAATTAAGCTGAATTAGGTACAGCCCCGGTTAAAAAAGATTTTTTGGTCATGTTTAAGTGGTCTCAACTTACTGTGATCACCCTAAAAGAAACTTGTAAAACATGGAAACATTATTTGAGACAGCAAAAAAAGTATAAGATCAATGAATGATGGACTCTTACTGGTAGTGAAGGAAAGTTGGAATCCCTTGCCCTGAGCTCCAGTGGCCTGAAATCGACTGGTGATTGTGTTGTAAGGAGCAACGATTGGTCCTGGGGCCGTGGAACCACAGCCTGTGGCCAGCAGTGATTCAGCATTCTGAGTTGTACCTTCCCACACCTGCAAGATTCACATCCAGGGTTAGAATTCTTTCTTTCATTCTTTTAGATCACTGCACATATCCAAAATCTGTCTCCTATTTGTATTTTTATTGTATCAAATTACACAATAGGAGCATGGTTGCAGACTGATATCACATTGTTTGGAGCTTTTTCTGATATTTCTGACTTAAATTTATTATGGAAAATGTCATGAAGAAGAAGCAAGAAAAATAAATTTTGTTTTAGGTTTTATTGATTTTTATACGCAGTATTTTTTCACTTTTCTTCTTTGTGGGAAGTTTATGTGGGAAGTTTATTTTACCTTATGAAGCACATCCTAAAACAGGTTAAGACATCTAGAGAAGTGTTTATTTCCAAAGCTCTGGCAACTTCTATTAGTCAGGATAATCTTTCTGTGATTTATTTAATATCATAATTATGTTGATTTATCAACGTTATGTGATGATAAATCCTTTAAATTATTATAATATCTATATATTTTTAGTTAACAGCCTTTGACAATGGAAATACTGCCACAGTTTCTTTTGACTAATGTGATGTGGATTTTACAACTGTTGCTAATCTCAGTTTTATTTGCTACAATGCTCACACTTTGTTTGACAAAGCTCCCTCAGATGATTCTACAAAGGTACCTTGATATAACTATTTTCACAGGTGCCACTATTGTCTGGAATCTCAAAATCCCTGCTGAAGCTCATCTCCAAGTGATTTCCCTCATGGGCAATGATCTGCCAGGAACACTCTACATTGCTTGGGAAGTTCTGTGGATAGTTTGGTGACTTGATTACACCTGAATCTGCGTGAATTATCCCGCCGCATCCTGGTGAAAAATAAAAAAATATATAAATATACAAGAAAGATAAGAATTATCACACAAAGCATACGAGTAAAATAAAAATTGACCTTATTCTGTAATAAAACACTACAGATCAGTAGCCCTAATAACATATTCTGTAGATTTTTTTTAGGGAAGCTGTAGTTTAGGACAAAGGGCAGTGGTAAACCAGTTGGAGGGTCAATGAATGGGCTCCTGAGTAACGAGGGCTTCATTTTAAAGTGTATATGTGCAAGACACTAACCCCCATGTTGCCCAACAATGGATCCATCAGTGTAAGAATGTGTGTAATAAAGAGAAAAGCCCAATGTTGTCTATGAAGAGTAGGCTGAGGTGTGCTTCATGAGTGAGTATGGTAATGGATGAATGAGGCACAAGTGTCTTTTGAGTGTGGTTTGTGTCATTTGTCTCTGTGTGCCATTGTGATGGACTGGCACCCGGTCCCTAACAACGATACATGTACATAGCTCTAGGCTAGCTTTTGCTGTTGCCTACCCACCTGAAGAGTCAGCAGACCACGAGGCTACAAATCCACCTCGGGACACACTATGGTCAGCCAGGAAAACTACAGCCAGTTTGTTGGAGCCTGAGCGGATGGTCCCTGGGGAGGTGGTACCACAGTACTGACCGATGATGGGGGAACCGGGGGAAGCGCCATTGAAGACTGTCACAGAGTCCCAGCCACATTGTGAGTGGGGCTCCAGGTTGAAGTTGCTGAAGGTCAACTGCAGATAAAAGCATGGAAACACATAAAAGTTGTGCTTTGTGGACTGAAGAGGTTTTGAATCGTGAGCAAAAAAACCCCAAACAAAACCAACAATTAGCAGTAATCTCTTAGTACCAGAGCACAAGTCACCAGGGTAGGCTGACAAGTGGTCAGTTTGAAGTTTAATACCAAGGTAGTACATCAGTCCCACCCCGATTTGAACTGTGTGAAGAGCTAAAAGTAAATGGATGATTCTCTTTGGAAAAAACATATCTAATGTATCAATAAAATACATTTTCTTTCCTAAGTTATATACATGAAATACTAAAATTTTGGCATTTAAATGTTTTCAGACTCTTCACTATACACATTCTGTCCACCCATTTTAACTTGCTTATGCTTATGGGCGCTGATGTTTATCCTTGTAGACAATGAGTGGGAGGTAGTGTGCATGGTGAACGTACTAACAGTAATTTATAGAGGGGGCATAATTTTTTACATCAAAAAGCCATGCTGAGTTCCCAGGGCAATTTACATTTACCAGTCAACCAAACATGCATGTATTTTGTATACAATGTGCTATTGCACTACCCTGAACATAACTAAATGTGGCTCTAAACATTTACTCACCACGATTGTGTGCCCCACAGGAGCTTCAAGCAGCCAAGCACAACGACTGGGACTGGGATAGGGATTGGGGTAATTTGGACTTGAAAACACCCCTTCATCCGTCAGCCAGCCTCCACATTCTGCAAAAAGTTCATGATTTATGTGAGAAAATTCTGGTGGCATCATAGAAATAGAATATACTTTATACTTTACTTTATAATTTACATATATGTAACAGCTATGTTAGAAAATGCTAATGCTTTTTTTTTAATGTACTGTACATAGTCCATGGTACATAAACACACTAAGTCAGTGCCATAACGGCTTTTAAACTGTCTTACCTGAGAACATGTACTTGGCTTTAAAGCCCAAGTCTCCCTGAGAAGAATCAGTCTGAAAATGAACCCACAGGTTTGGGGTGAAGACCACAATTGGAACTGGAGGCGTGGTCTGTCCACAAAACTTGGCCAAAAGTTCTCCATCAGAATCACCTGAGGGAAGGGGCAGAGCATTAAAAAGGGAATAAAGAGAATAAAAGGTTTTTTTCCAAATGTCCCTTTCAAAAGTTATGGATAGGTTTAAGCAAACAGCAAACTATTTTGTGAAAGCCAAATCATGAATTCCAACAGATGGATGCAACCACATGGTCTATTTGATATGTTAAGACGATGATATGTTAACACTAAAAACCTGGCTACAGAAGCTTTGATTGTTTCTGAAAGTCACATCCTTTGGATGTATCGGCAGTGCATACTAAGGCTAATGTTTTCAGTGTGGATCTTACCAAAGCGGAACTGGAGATAGTCTGAGTCACACGTCTGATGGTTCTCCAGGTGCAAGTCTTCAATAAGCACCACGATAGAGGAGTTTATATGATGTGGGTTTTGAATCGTCCACTCACAATTGAGGTTGTCACTGTAATTGGACACAAGATAGCCTGGGGAACTGAAGTTCCCACCGGCTGGGTTGTTAAGGACTCCCCCGCAATCTGACAAAAAAAGAGTAAAAACAGAAGCATGCAAATGTGAGAAGCAAAGATTAAGTCTAAAATTCAACATAAAGTCCCAATTTGTAACAATGAGGTCAATGCATTTTCATTGGTGTGTATCTCTGCATATTTAGATATGTATTTCTGAAAGTCCAACTACCCAAGATTCTAAGCTAAAGTGACAGAATGAACCTGAGATCTTGTAAGCATTAAAGTCATTATCCAGGTTAACAAAACAAAGATTCAGAAATATATCAGCAAGATGCCCCCAGTGATTAACTAAGCAAGTGTATTGGGCAGCTGCGCCGGTTGGTTAACACAAGGCTAGTCCTGCTCATGAAAGATCTCCAGAAGGGGGCAGTTCCATTCAACTACTACCAGATAACTTTTCTCTGGGAAATAGAAGCTTCCGTCAGGCCTCATATTGGACAAGCTGAACAGTCGTATGGGGCAGTTAAAGGCCCAACGAGATGAATACCAGCTATGGATTGACGAAACTGTAACTCAAGACTTAAAGTAACAGCTCAATGCTGCAGCTTTCGGTAGATAAAAACCTCTCACCTGCAGGCTCATCAGAGACGTAAGAGGCCATGAAGCCACCACTGGATACAGAAGCATCTGTGTAGAACACAATGGACATTGTGTTTCCAGAGGAACGCACTTGAGTGCCTGCTGGGACTGTACCACATAGTCGATGTAAGCGAGGAGCATCCTCCGCTAATCCGTTGTATATCTGGAGACAGAATTTAGATCATGAGAAATTTCACTTGTATCCCTACCATCTTTCCATTATCTGTATTACCTATTCCTAGTAGAGTAGGGTTATACCCTAGTGGGGTAGGCTCCAGTCACCCCCGCGAGCAGGGAGCAGGTTACTGGAGCCTACCGCCCACAACCCAATTAGGCTCCCAAATGACAGAGAGTAGGGTACATAGGGCACTTAGGGCCACACAGGGCACATACATATCAAGTAAAGGTAAATAAAATCCGACAGTGGTTTAAGAAAGTGATTATAAAAGTAACATTTTCAGAATTTCCTTTGATGATAACCGAAATATGACCTACCAACAGCGAGGCTATAATCCTTCAACCCAAAGATGTCATCAGTACACTGCACCCAACTGACACTCAGAGAACAACCAGACCCAATTCTGTACCTGGGCTATCGACAGTTTTCACAGTGTACCATACCCCAGTTTCTACAATGATTCTGGTCACATGCCTCAATGACTACAGGCAGGTGGCACTGACTGGTCATATTGAAGTGTTTGGAAAGCCTGGGACTGGGGCCCATCAAAGCAAATCTCCCCACCCAGTCTTGATCCTCAAAACTCAACGCAGATGCAGTCAGTCAGATCGGGACTGCGTCACTCCCCTACCTTGTCACTCAGCACTGGAGCACACCAAGGCTGTGTGCTGAGCCCGTTCCTCTTCTCGCTGTACACACTCAACTGTTTGCCACTCCACAACACCGACAAAATGATCACATTTGCTGATGACACCACAGCGGTTAGACTGAAGACAGTGAGAACCCCCACAGGGAGGAAGTGCACAGACTGACCGACTGGTGCTCAGACAACAACCTGAGCTTGTCCACCAAAGAGACAAAAGTAGAACTCAGTGACTTCAGGAAACAGAAGGATGAACACCAGACACCTCTCATTAACAATCACAGAGTGACCCAAGTCTCTAATTTTAGATTACGGGGAATATACATCTCAGGGAACCTCATATGGGCCTAAAACAAAAACACACTGATTTAGAAAGCACAACAACAGGTGTAATTAATCCGGACACAAGAAAACCTGGACTGGGTTGACGTCAAATAGACTTTTATACCTCACGATGCCTCTGGAAGGCATTCAGTATTATCAGGGACTGTTATCACCCAATTAGAATGGGTTCCATTTCAACATATAAAGAGATTAAGATAAAAATATATTGCGGTATAGAAACTCACATCAAGGTAGTCAAACACACAGGCACCACTGGAACCTTCCAGCCGGAGGTCATTGATGGTGAGAGTAACCTTACGGTCTGGAGCCACCACCACCTCCCAGTGACACACTCGACTGTGAGGATATAAATTGGGGTAATTGGGAGAGGAGATGGTCCCTGATGGGGCATTCAGTTGCCCTCCACAAGCTGTAGTAGAAGCAGAAAGGGAAACATACAACATGAGAAGTAATATTTTTTACAAGGCTGTCTATTTCAATTCACAAGTTGATTCAAATAGTGTTAATTCACAAGAATGGAAATTTGACAACATACCCCGATATGCCATTTGAAGAAGAAACTAACTCCCCTAAGTACACTAGCGTCAAAGCACCCTAAGTAAACTGTTGGTCCTTAAAGGTGTTTCCTTCCTTACTACACTGATAGAACAATAATTTCTCCAGGACTGACATGATTTGGGTTGTGAAATAACTGAAGATATATAGCTACACAGGATGTTTTAGGTACAGCAACATACCTTGAAATACTTGTTCAGCTAATTGTTTGTTTTGTTATTTGCCTAAGGTTTGTTACTGTGCTTCCAAAAGTAATATTATTTACATATAACTTACGTAGACCCAGAATCGACAACAGTTTTCCTTAGATAGAGAAGGTGCCCCTACCTTTACCCCACTCCCCCAGTGCCCCCAACTTACTAATTGCCCCCACCGTACTGTATATGTTCCTTTGGCTTTAAAAAGCTTTAAGTGTGTGTATAGTATAAATCAGCATCCATGTTCTGACAATTCTCCTATCTGGCTATTTCTTGGGTCACCATAACTTTATTTAGAGAACATTTACAGTCTCATATACAATCTAATCCAAAGATACAATGATAATTCTGTTTGAGAAATATTTAAGTCATTCTGCCACTTCCAAGTGGTAAATTATTGCACATATGGAAGTCTGTATGATATTACAGTTTGTATGATATTATGGTAATTGCACGGGTGCTCTGTGGATACTTTGGCTTCCTACAGTTGCCCAAAAACATTTTACTTTAAGTAAATTGGAGACTCTAGAATTACCTGTAGGATTAAGCCCATCCCAGCTTGGCTACTGAAAGCTGGGCTGAATGACAACCTTATAATGAATGCTAACAAAATTATTCCTATTAGAATTCCAACTTAATTTAAAGGGAAGATGCACCACATATCACCACAGAATAAAGAGATTACACATGTATGACAGAGGAATCATGTAGACACAAGTTGTGGGATTGTGAAACATGACAATTCACTAATGAAAAAACAATACAACTTTAAATACATTTCAAGAATGGAGAATTAAATTGCTCTGTTATTACAGGTAATTATTTCAAACAAAGGCAATTTGTGCTCACAGACCAATGATTCTTTATAAATGTTTATGATGTCATTAGTATGATCATACCTTCAATACTGGCCTCAAATGATAGACTGAATCCAGCTGCATTTCCACTTAAGTCAGTCACAAATTTGACATAAGCAAAACTGTCAGAAGTGTCCACGGAAGGTGGTAGATTACTGCCACAGTGTCGGCCCAAAAGTCGTCCTATAAGAATACAAGTAATTTGGATTCATTTATTGTTTAACCAACAGGCAATATGCGTTGTCCACTTCTAAAAATGGCGATCCCTTTGTTTTCTCACCAGAGGCATTATACTCTCTGATCTCCACAAAGTCAGCAGAGCACCCTGGAGTTGTTTGCAGGCTGAAACTGTCAAAGCTTATGGTTAGATAATGTCCAGTGGGCCCCTCAAGGTACCACTCACAGTTGCTGCCATCAGGATAGCTAGAATCAGGGAAGCCAGGACTGTGGATTGTTCCCATTTGACCAATATAGGTTCCTCCACATGTTGCTGCAAAGAGTTGGGAGATATGATGAGGAAGATACGAAATGAAAGCAAGCTTAATTGTGCTTCTTTTTTCTTTCAAAATATTCAATGTTGTCTAAGAATTCTCTACATTTTACAGAGCATCTCTTGTCTATACATTTACATTCTAACCCAATTTTGAGATTGGGAGATTCTAACCCCAATTTTGAGATTATAAGGACAGCGTGTGCCTCTTATTTGCTTACCTATGGAGTACTTTGCCTTAAATCCTTTATGAGTAACACTATGGTCAGTGCGGAATCTAAGAAACATGGCGGACTGTGTTGAATGCTGGGTCGATGGTCTGGTGCTGCCACATAGCCTCGCAATTGCATCAGAATTGGATGTTGAGCCATCACGCAATTCCAAGTAATCATATGCACAACTAAGAAGAAAAAGAGTTTGTACATTTTAACATGTGAAGGGAATACATTACAATGCACAAATCTGTTTGTTTGTTTTCACAACTTCCAAATCTTAGGGTTCAGTAGTAAATCGGAAAAGTTTTTAGTAGTTGTAGTTTAGTTTAAGGAAACATTTAATTCAAAGGAATGTCAGATATTTTAAGATGAGAAAATTCAAAATGGAGCAGCAGCATGTATAGATTAATAAAGATCAATCAAGATTTTCTTTTTCTTTTTACATAAGTTTTAAATACCATATCCTTTGGAAAGTACAAATGTGAAAAAAACTATCAAATATAACTAAATAGACTTACCTTGCTGTTTGTTCAATGTAAAATTCATCCTCAAAATCAATTTGGACAGCTTCTCCATTTGGAACGGTTATCACCCAGACACAGTCAATATTTTGAGGATAATTCTGAGGATAGTTAGGTGAGGTAATGTAACCCGGTGGGTCGTTATCATTAAGCTCAATGAAGCCTCCACATGCTGCAGAAAGAGAAGAGATGATAGTACATGTTTTCTTTTTCCACTATTGATGACATATAAATTACCTAGGCAAACACTTTTTTCTCCAAGTACCATAATAAACTTCTTTTTTTTCTTTTTTTTAAATAAGTCAATGTCTTTGCTGTTTTTGGATGTTTTACAACCTAAATTTGTAAAGTACAACATTCAACTAAAACAATGTTCTTTGCCCAGGAATGCAAGTAATTAAATATAATTTCATAGTAATGTAATTTCATTGTAATCTTCATTCTTTTATTCAAGCAAAATAGCTTCTACATACTGATATACTGGCCATCACTGAGACATAAAAAAATATTAATGGAAGCTGCAGCATAAACTTACATTGGTTAGCTATTTAATACATTTTCAAGTACTAGATATATATATATATGTGTGTGTGTGTGTCTGTGTTTGCGTGTTTATGGGGTTAAAGAATTGGTTAACGTACCCGTACTATGGGCCTCAAAAGTCAGTTTAAAGCCATTAGCCTCATTACTGGCATCAGATACAAATTTGATATACATGTCGCTATCAGTGGTCTGGATCATTGACGGGGGGCTTGAACCACAGATCCGTTCTCCAAGTAGTGGAGATGAGTCATCTGGACCATTTCTGACCTGTGTAAAGAAGAGAACAACATTTCACAAACAATTTACCTATTCAGCGGTACAAAACACTAACTTTAAAGCATTGTTTATAATGTTTTTTATTTATATTTTTACCAAGTTTAAAGCTCTGTTCTGGAACAGTTTTTATTGTTTAAGACACATCTTTTCTGGGGATTTCCTTGTTTTGTGAATTTGTGTTAAATACACTCAGTTAAAATTACAAAAAAAAACGCTTACTAGCAAAACACTGCTTTTGATAGCCTGAAGGGTTTTAAAAATCAACTCGTAAAACATAAACATGAACATAAAACATAGATAAAGATATACAGACTTTTTTCCAGATATATGCTTACCTCCAGGTAGTCTCCTGAGCTACATCCGGTTCCATATCCCTGAATCTGGAAGGGTCTTAGGAAATTTACGGACACTTTAAAGCCGGGTGTGACCATCACGTGCCAGCGGCAGTCCAGACCAGACAGGTAGTTCTGCGGATAGTGGGGACTGCTGACCGTTCCTCTATTTACATGCAGAAAGCCCCCACAACCTGAAACAGCAAACAAATGATTGTTATTATTTTCTTTCAAAAAGGGTTTGGTGAGGAGAAGTAGAGCACAAAATCTCAGATTTGATAAATAATGTGTGAAAATATATTTGAAATGTTTAGTTTGTTTTCAGGTAGCATTGATAATTGGTACTTCTTTTAATATTTTTGTTTTACAGTATGTATTTATGAGGATTTAAGTGCAATTGAATTTATATTTCTGTTATATTCAGCTGATGTAACTTCGCTATATTAACAAACACCATCTTTTTTCAAGTAGAGGATGTACTGATATATGCACATTTTAATGTCATCATGTTATTTTGATACCTTTTAGTATCAAGTGTAAGAATTGTTTCAGATATGAATGATTTTAGTCAGGTCAAATTGAAATGCCAAATTTGAATTTAAATTCAATTAAAATAAATATAAATTATTCTTTATAAAGATTCAGGTGTTCTTCACAATAAGATTACCTAAAGCAAGCAAACTAGCTTATCTGCACATCATGCCATACATTTATTTATTTATCTTTTGTTTTTAACTTTTTGATTCTCCTTGTTAAATCTTCTGAGTGCAGATAACTAACATAAATAGAAAACCAGCTCATGCTTGATATTAATTTGAAGACTTTGAATGTAAATATAAAAGAATTCTGGAAATCAGAAATTAGTTTTCTGGTTCAAGAGAATTTCTTCTTGCCACAATTTAAGTGCAGGGTCTATTTTTATATTGATATTATTAAAACAAAAAAAGCTAAGAAATGTGTTTTAAACAATTGCCAAATATTCAAGTTGACAGGACAAAAATATTCAAATACAGTACCTAACAGAACAGAAGTTTTCTATACGTGGAAAATCAGCCATGAACTGAAGCTTTTTATTTACCAACCCTACAATAACAAAAATATTTTCAAATCTTATTTCTATTCAACATGCATGTATGAAAATAAACATGTTTTAAGAAGCTGAACTGTGACATAATTTTTGATAGATTTTTCATCGTCTGTGAATTATGTTTATCATAAAAGACAACATTTTTGGATAAATCAATTAAATGTCTTGTGCTGTGAAGAGTTTAAAATAATACTAAAATAATGAAAAAGAATGTGATGTATCTATGTAAACTTTGGATACAAAACCTTTGGAGTAGGAGGCATTGAATCCGTGGCCATTCATGACGCTGTCTGAAGAGAAATGGATGAACATGGAGTCTCCTGTTGAGTGGAACGGACCTTGAGGATTCCGACCACACACAGTCGCCAGCACGGGAGACAGACTTGTTGCACCTGTAAACACCAATTCCCCCCAAATAATGGGTTGTAAGGGATAACAGACCAACTGAAAAGCATGCTTGATGTTTTATGAAGCTATATCCAATGGTGACTATTTCAAATTTAAAAGAAAAATCCTAATCCAATCCCAAATGAGGGAGGATTTTATATAAATGTATGTGTCAAAAGCATCTAGGTTTTGTTTTTTCACTCAAATTGCAGCATTTAACAAAGCTAATTTATTCAAGATTAGAATAGTAAAATATCAGTAGCATGCATAACATAAAAAGTCACTACATGGTAAGATAGTGACAAAAAAAAAGGGAATATTTGAACCAAGGTAAACAGTCATGGCTTACCGTCTCTGATAACCAGGCTATCAGAGTAGCAGCCTGGGTAGCCGTCCATGTCTAGAGACAAGATGTTAAACTCCACGGTTGAGTCTGGGGAACGTAGCAGCCAAGTACACTCCTGGTTAGGGGGGTATTCTTCCGGCCATCCAGGGGAAAAAAGGAAACCGGGAGTCTCTCCTGTTATCAGCATCCCTCCACATGCACCTGAGACACAAACCCATAGTTAGAACGGGTTACACATAAAATACAAGACACACATGGAAGATGGTAGTACTTTCAATACTAAAAAGTTGAAGTCTTTAAGTGGTATTTTAGATGATTAGGCCTTGACACAAAGCATTTATAAGGCCTGGCCTGTTTAAATGTATAATGTCTCTTTGTATGTCTCACATACACACACTGTTTGAAATGACCTGTTTTGTAGCTGGATGAAAATGATTATATTGTATTTTACCTGTTTTCTTTTTTTTTCTTTTTACTGTGCAAGGGAATAGTGAATGTTCAGTGTGTGTGGGTTATACCAGATGTCTTCAAGCGACTGACCTGGTGTAATGGTAGGTGATGGTCCAGAGTCCTGCACGGCCTTCCATTTCACCAGGAAGCCTCGTCCTGCCACCACCGAATCTGACAGGAACTGCAAGGTGACAGTGCTTCCCCAACTTCGTACGGGGGAAGGCAAGCCAAGGCCACAGAATGTACCAATAGGGTAGCTATGAACATCCGGGCCATCAAATATCTAAGAAGAAAATGGGGATGTGTTATATTCTTCTGTTCTATTGATCCTTTACATTTAAAAAAATCTGTTTGTATCAATTCATTTAATATCAATATATATAAAAAAAAATATTACAGTTTATTAGAACACATTTAATAAAAAGGTATGATTATAAAATTTAACAGTTGTCAATCCCTTTTAAAAGGATATGTATTTTCATTCTATGGCATTGTGAATACAAATTAAATAGATGTAATTATTTCCCTTCATTAGGTAAGCTTGTCATAAAGAGCGCATCAACACTAGTTTGTTTTCAGAATATAAATATGAAAATTCTGCACAATGTGCCTTTACTGTAGGCGGGCTGGTACATGATTCTAGCATCTTCTTTCACATATATTTGAAAGGTTTGCTTTTTTTAAGGTTCATTTTTCATTATAAGGGTGACATTTTGAGCCCTGAATTACTTCTGTTCCAGCTTTCTTTTTTTGAACGTGCTGTAAGTCTGAAATGCTAAATTAAATGCACATAAGCACACAAAAAGAGGTTGATTAGACAAAAACCTATTGTTGAAATAATATCCAAAATCACTTAATATGTAATGACCAATATATCATTTAACATCTTGTTTTGTCCATTCCATCTCATTCTTTTTTAATTGGAATTGCATATTAGTCTGATTTATTCAATTATTTAATATTCAGTGCTATAATACAAATCATTATATGTTTTCGTCAGTACAAAATAAATCAGAGGTTTCTTAATAATTTATGCTGTATCTGGATTTATTCAAAGCAGCTAATTGTTATGTTTTTTTTATTTTGAGGTATCAGTGATTTAGTAGCATACAAAATCTTACTTTCAGATAGTCATAGTTGCAATATTGCGTGTCCTCTATGTCCATATCCAGGAAGGAGATCTGGACGTAGCTGTCTCCAGCCACATTGATGGTCCAGCGGTAGTGGGCGTTATTGGGGTAAGTCCTGGGATACAGCGGGGATGCGATCTCACCAGAATCCCCAATCAGATCGATTCCATACACTGAGTAACAGTGACAGAGTTTGGTTACTTAAAGATCAACTCGATTTATTTTTGGACCGAAACTTTTCAACACCAAACCCGACATATGATACACAACTATATTAGATTTAAAGGCAAAAACATTTCATAGCTGTTTAACCAGCACGCACAATGTGAAACGCACAACCTGGAAAACATAAGAGTTAAGACTTGAAATCTAGAATGAATCCAGACAGAGTCAACTTTTACTCGCTTTGTAAGTTTAGTTGGAGTTTCAGCACCGGATGTTCTTTCTGACACAATCCCTTGAATTTATCAAGCCTTGGGACAAGCATAGATAGAACGCTATACCATATTTGGGGGTTCAATGTCTTGCCTAAAGATACCTCAACATAAAGCCAGAGTTCAAACCACTGACCAATCCACTGGTGGGCAACTGTTCTTACCCCTGAGACACAGGGGCCTTCAGAGTTTTGGAGATTGGCTTTTGGTCATGATCTCATCCTTGAATTAATTATTAATGCATTAATAAAAATTCCTTATGAATTCATTATATCTTATTCAAGTTGGAACTATTTTATAATATTATTCACTGAAATTCTCTCTAATAACATTAGTAAACTATTGACATATATGAGTACTTACAATGTGAAAATGTTGCTCTAAATCCTTCTCCGCTAACTGATGCGTCTGAGACAAACTTAACCCAGAGGATGTGGCCAATCACAGAGGTGTAGTTAGAGGGGAGCATGTTTCCACAGAAGAGACCAACGAGGGACCCTGTGGAGTTTCCTTCTCTGATTTCCAAATAGTCGTTCTGACAACTTGAGTCACCTTGGAGATTAAACATACTGAACAAAATACAAAAAAGATTATCAAGATTAGCATAAAGGTCCCTGGAAACATTATCCATAGATTAATAAAATACAAAATACAAAAGTCAAATACATGATATTTCATTATGAAACGTACAAGCAAAGAATATTAGGTAAGAATGTTCTGAAGACATATATGACACCAACTAGTTCTAAGCTTGATTTTTTTAATATTATATTAATGTTATGTGTTTCTGCTCTGAAAGGAAAATCCTTATTGAAATGTATATTATCTTTTAATATTTTTGTCTATTATATTTAATAACTATTCTTTATCAAAAGCTCACTTGATAGAAAGAGTGCAGCTATTCACTATTTCATATCATAATTACCAACAAAGTTAATTTAATGAGCCTCAATTTAAAGGAAACATTTTACATGTTAAGTTATGCAACTGTATTTTATGGGTCTGTAACTGCAAAATATGTTAACTTTCCAATAACCTCTTATATTGTTGAACATCTCTGTATCATTAAATAATTTGACTTCGGGGTGAACTTTCTGTAACTGACATTTCCAGGTAATTCTACATTTGTATATTACATTTTCTGTGGACACAAGTAAGAATCTTAAAAAAATAGATTAAATAAAATGTAGAACAGCAACTCATTCTAGCAAAAGCTACAAATTGAAACCTTGAGATGGAAACATTTATTGACAAGAATTTGAAACTCCCCTACTCAAAAACACTCACATAAAAGAGAGCTGGAGACGATTTCCTGGCGAGCTTCTGATGGTCCACACACATTCCATATTCGGTGGATAAGCATCTGGATAGTTGGGACTGTTAAATACCCCGTTCTGCATCACAAGATCTCCTCCACAACCTGAGCAAAACAGACAAACGTTTACGCTTGATATCAGGACTATCAGTATGAACTGATCAGTTCTGCTTGTGTGTCACAACATACTGGAGGTGGAGGCAGTGTAAGTGGCTCTGAACCCTTTTCTGGAGACGGATACGTCAGAGATGAAGTTGACGACCATGGAGTTGCTGAAAGACGTCACTGGATGCGGTATGTCAGAGCCACAGTAGCGCCCTGCCAGAAATTTATATTATTAGACACTATTGAATTTTAAAACATAGCTAAACACAGCTCACTGCTACTTCATACACAGCGCCCTGTCAAAGTACAGTATTTAATCTTCATTTTAATCGTAATTTTTACAGTTTAATGATAATATTCATGTATTAGACAGAATTTACGACTCCGCTGAAGCTTGAATGTTAGAGGTAGAACTGAATATAAGTATTGCGATGGTTAAAAACGAGATTTTTTGTTTTTGTTTTTACAGAGCACCCTGGCAAAAGTCTAATTAAAACAAACTTGTGAAATACGTGTACAAATGAATGACGCGTCTACCTATGGAAGGCGCCTGATAGTTGTCTCCATCAAGGATCTCCACGGCATCGTGTGAGCAATTGGAGTTGATTCTTTCCAGGTCAAAGTCAGTGAATGACAGGGTCACATGGTTGACTAGCAAGAAAAACCCAAAACAGTCATTAATGTTGCACTTTTTCCAACTTTTTTCTGTCAAACATGTGTGAGACAAATAGGTTAAAAGGTAAGATGAGAGCTACTTGCATGGTTCACGTGCTTTGATGATCCAGCTGCAGTTCTGATTTGGTGGGTATAGTGCAGGGTACCGGGGCGATGCAATAGCCCCCCCGTTATTGTCGGTTATAATGGTCGTGCCACATGCTGCTCGAAAGAAGACAAAAAACAAAGTCAGAGAACTTGTAGTTATTCAAAACTTTGGTTTGAGCTGGTCAGTAACAAGGCATAGGTCATTTGTGTAATCTAAGTCGGGTCACAGGGCTCCTGGAACATAGCCCAGGTATCGTTGGGTGAGACCAGCCCATAATACCCCCACACAGAAACAAACCACACGGCGACCATGCATTCACACATTCAGTCCTACAGTCACCACTTAACCGCACATTCATTGTTAATGGACCCTGGATCCATACTATTTGGCACAGGATATGTTTTTAAAAAACACTTAAAATGACTAACTTGAAAAATTTTTACGTTGACTTTGAAAAAAATACTCGGCATTGAAAAAAGGAACTTTGAAAACCGAAACACTGAAAAAAGAAGATTGAAAAATTAAACTATGAAAAACTTAAACTTCACAGGTGGAAATTCAAAGTAAACACGAGAAATTTACCAGAATCCGGTTATTTATATTTCCTAAATCAGCCTCTTTTCAAATGCCAACTATAAGTACTTGTCAGTTCTGGTTCTCTCATTAATAAACAATGGCGACCCTTCAGATTTGGATTGCTCTGGCTAAAGTATTTTGATCTTTTGTATATGATGCATTGAAACTATATCCAACAAAACTCAATCGGATTTAGCTACAACAGCGGTTGTAGTTACAGTATAAATGTAATCATTGGGCAGTAAACAGAACAGCAATTAATTTGCTGACTGTCAAGTCACTGCAATTGTTTTTGTTAAGGGTTTTCTATGAAATGTCCTCTATACATAGAGTACATGGATGGATGGACATAGAGTACAACAAAGAAATATTTCTGTGTGTCACTCTATGTGAATTTGAGAAAGTTGTCATTTAAGTGGGATTTTTTAAACACTATCTCGTATCTTTTAAGTTTGTCAATCTTCCATGAGGCTTTCATACATTTGTAATTTTAACTCATAGCGTTTTGTTGCCACTTGAAAAAAAAGGATGCAAGTCTCCATCATGACAGAAACATTCTATTCGGCATATGTCTTCACACAGTGCTAAAACAGGATTGGCACATCTGGTATTAAACTGGTTGAAGACGACCCACCTTCTGAGAAGGTAGCGCTGAAACCCCGGTGGCTGCGACTGGAGTCGGACCTAAAGCGGACAAAGATGCTGTGCTGAGTGGAGGTGACAGGGGGAGCGCTGGTGCCACAAACGTGAGCAAGTAGAGGAGAAGATGAGCTCGGGCCGTCATAGATCTACAAATGGACAGACACAGTTTAAGGACATTTCCAAGCTAATACAAAATTAAACAACTGCACAACATGAATTCTAATGCATAATATTTATTGCTCTAAAAATGTATCTTTTAGATATAGCAAGTGCAGATATGGTCACGATACCCAACTAACAGGAAGTTGTAAGACCTTTTTAGTATTATGTTTTTAACTCATCTTAAAATATATTTGATATGTTTCTTCTTAGGAGGCAAAAAGGTTGAATAATCATATAAAACAAGACAGATCCTGTTTTAAATTTAAAGCCTTAAAAATAAATTCAAGTACAATGAATTAAGGTTTGCACAAGTTGAATCCAGCCAGTTGAAGATGCAACGCTGGGACAAGTGGGTTCTCAAAATTTTCCAGAAATAGTGCAATTATAAGTTGTTTTGGATAAGGCTTTCTGCTAGATGAATAAATGTAAATTTAATACATGAGCCATGGCACAGTGATAATCGCAGGTGAGGGAAAATGTTTGGTCGTAAGAGGTGTCCCCACAAAATTACATCTTTAAGAGCCATCTAGAATAATTACCCTGAATGGTGACCAACTTACTGTATCAACATAACAGTGTTATAGATTCTTGATATTTTTTAAAATAAGTGACACTTTGGATATATACCATGAACATTTTATATATCATATAAATTGATCATGAGAAGTCACAGAACTTTTGACAACAAAAAATGGCAGACAAATGGAAGCATCTTGAACTTTCCATCAGCTATGATCACACAGTTACTAATGCTGGAGTTCAGTTTAGTGTCTTACGGCAACATAATCCCAGGAGCAGTTGCTATGGTTTTCAATGTCCAGGTCAGTGAAGTTCCAAAAGACACGGTGGTGGTGGTCCACGCTGATGACCCAGGAACAGTCCACATTGTTTGGATAGTTGTTGGGATACATGGGGGAATGGATGCTCCCGGAAGGAGCCGAGACAGTTCCTCCACACCCTAAAAGGAGAAAGGAAAACACATAATTCCCCTCTTGTCTAGTCCTTGAAAATGCTAACCTATGTACACTACTACTGGTAGCTGCATATATTGTCAAAACATTTGAATAAAAAACAAAATTGTAAAAAGTATGCTACTTTATAAATATTAACTACAAAAAATATTTTGGCGAAATCAAATATGAAATCTACAAAACCGGTGAAAAAAAATACTCAGAGCTGCACAGACTTGTTGCTGATCAGTATATGTTCAGCTAGCAAAGTAGTGTCTAGGTAGTATTCTACAAAAGTTACAGTTTTTACTTTTCTTTGAGTCATCATAGTGCATTATTTACAGTTTGCATACTAAGAGGAATTGTACAAATTTAATACTCCCTACTCACCTCCCTGGTTTTCAGACCAGCTTGCATTGAATCCTCGACCGCTGACGTAGGAATCAGACTTGAAGCGCACGGTGAGCAGGTTGCCCGTGCTGGAGACGTGCATGGGCTGTGATGTGGTGGTGCAGAGCTGAACCAACCGGGGGGCTGACAAGTCAGGGCCTCCGTACACCTGAAAGGAGGCAATTTGTAAAAGTCAACAAGCTAACTGCGCAGATCTACACTAAAAGAGTGAAACTAATTATATATTTCTTAGACTTCCATGGTATTCCTATTCGAATTTGAAAAAAACTGCAATCACATATATTGTACATTCATGAATGGGTACATAATTTGTGCAAAAGAAGATAGCAGGGTATTAGCAACCTGTTTTCACCAACCGTCTAGCTATAATGAGGTCAAATTTAGCACTATAAGGATTTTTAATTAATTTAATTACTAAATTATCATGATTATGATTACAAGCATTAATGAAGGATTGATTTCAGCAAAGCTATGAAACATGTTGACATCTTACTTCAAGCACGTCATAGTTACAGGTTTGATGGAACTCCACATCAAACTCATGGATAGTGAGAGTTATACTGGTGCCAGCAGCTGAAGTGATATACCAGATGCACTCTCTGTTTTCAGGATACTTGTTCGGATAGCCAGGGCTACTGAAGGACCCATTAGGACCAGACAGGTCCCCACCACAACCTGCACAGAACACCGGCTCTTACTGTCCAATTACGTCTCAAATAACTGCAAAAATAATGGTTTATCAAGAATTTATTTGAAGGCCTTTTCTATTTGAAATCATATGACCACAGTTTTTAACGTTCAGAACAGTTTGAGGTGGTGAAACACAACCTCATAAAATCAAAAACCCTCCCCCAGCTCCCACTTTTGAAACATCTGTAATATATATGAGCAATAAACACAATTATACACAGTTAAACAGACATACCTAGAAACTTGAAACCTCAGATTTGGAAACAAGTACTATTTTTGTCTTGGTGGTGGTAAATATTCAGCACTACTCAAGACGTTTCTTTTTCATTGCGTCATTTGTATCATAATTCAAAATATTTTGCACCTTCAAAATCTAAGGAATATAAGAGATTATGCACAAATTGTACAAATAGAGTTTAATTCAATTTAGCTGCACATGCCAAAAATATTTTTGCTATTCACTGTTCATCTCCTGTAAAGACTAAAAGCTTCCTTAGACTAAAAAGGTGAGACTTAAAAATGAATTTCCAATCATACTTTTTCTCAAAGCCCGACTTTGTTCTTTGCATAGTTTAAGCAGTAAAATCTCTCCCCTACCGTTCTGGTACCAAATCATCTGAAATCCAGACATAGACACGGTGGAGTCCGTTCTGAACGTCATGGTGAGAGCTGAGCTCGTGGTGCTGTTGGCTGGGGGTGGACTGTACCCACAGAATGTACCAATCAGTGGAGCTTGCTCGTTGGACCCATCATAGAGCTAGAAGAGTAATATTTGGAAAACGTTTTGCGAGAAAATGGATAGAAAAAGGAATAAATACACACCAAAATACACCTGATACTTTGACTTTGACAAGAAAATGTTGGTTTCATAATTAGTATCAAATATGTTTGCTTCAAATGCTGATTTGACAACAAAATATATATGGATTATTCTCGATCACTATTATAATTTCTGATATAGTACGCTGCTCATGGAAGCTACATGAGAATCCTGATTTAATTTCTGCTGTAACAGACTTTCTAAAGATGGTTTAGATGGCTCACTTAAACTGATTATTTTTCCACAGCCAGTTCATGAAATTAGAAAATTAAATTTCGATGAGGTTGCTTATTTTAATCACAACCATATAAGTTTTGGAACCAAATTACATTTGTTTTGTGCTCAAAACTGATAGAATATCATTTGTATAACATGAACTAACTGTAAGTGAAAGATTGCATTAATGAAAAAGGATAAACATTGTATAGAAAATCTATGAATGACAGAAACCCATAGTGACTAGAAACAAAATTAAACGGCAACAGAAAAATGTAAAAACATATTAATAATAAAACAATAAAGACAACATGTACCTTGATGTAGTCATGGATACATCCGCTTGATGTGCGCTCCAACTGGAAGGCATTGAAAGTGTAGTTGACAGTGTTTCCGGTGGTGGCCTCTATTGTCCAGCTGCAGAGGGAGTTGGCAGGGTAGAGGTTGGGAAAGTTGAGCGACTCAATCACTCCTCTGTGTTGGCCTGAGATGACTATGTTCTGACATTCTGAAAACAGGACCAAGATACACTTGCTTAATCTTCACATAAAACAGTTAAGCTACTGACAATATTGGATTTTAAGTGATCGTCCATGTTTCTTTTTTTCAGAATTGTTTATTGCCAGCATAATAATACTCAAATCTATGTATATGTAGCTGCTTACTAATGTTTGCCCTATATATCTGTATATATATATGAAATCTACAAATCTCTTTTTATCTGTTCAAATGTGATTCGATTAGCAGTATCTTCCAAAATTGTATATTTTTCAACCTTTAGAAGTACAGGAATATAGGACTCGAATGCATTTGACCTAAACTTGTGAGCATGGGTGTGTTGTCATACTGGAACTATACGATGCGAGGAATCCTCCAGCGGCGACGCTGGCGTCCGTGCGGAGTTTGACGTACAGCTGACTGCTGGACGCGTTGATGGTCATAGGCAACTGAATGCCACAAAGCTTTGCCAGCTCTGGAGCGTTACTGCTGTTTCCATCGTACACCTGAAACCAGATACAGTCACGGGGGCATAAGGACAATGACACATATTACATAACACTTTAATTGAAATTATTAACCATTTACAAGGAGGTTACTTGGATTCTGTCAATTTCATTCTTGTAACAGGGATATAACTTTTAGTGCCTTTGTTTGTAGAGCAAATTCTTCCATTTTCTATTGGGTTTAGAATATTCGCTTTTAGGGAACTTAGAAATTAGTGCACACCTGAATAAAAATCAATTCCTTGACAACACTTGGTCAATATGAAACGAAAGACGATGGGGAATTTTATTTTTGCCCTTATCTGTTTTGTGTAATATGTCAAAATTTTCAATAAGGTGAATAAAATAATTTGGTTAAATGTTTTTGGAAGCAGCTAATGCAAATGACTAACCCTAACACTCCTATTGGACATAGTAAGTATGGTTATGGTTTGAAGACATATATGCATTGTTCTATGCAAGCAAGTTTTAAACTTCTATATCTACATCACAAAAATCACTATATCAAAACTTTTAACCTGAAATACAGAAACTGGATAGTTCTTAAAAAATTAGAACTTCTTTGTTCTTTTCCATTGTACAACTTCTCAATTGAAACAAAAAAAGTCAATTTAAAAGAAAACCTGATGACTAGTGTCCTGATTTGACCCCAAACTGCCACAGGCTTGGAAGGGGCAGCATCAGCGTGACTCAAACTTAAACTACACTGCTGGAATGTGAGGTGGAGCATGGCCAACTAGCCCAGGTTTTGGGCTGTCCTCCCTCATGCTGTGGAGCTGTCCATGAGGAGAGGCGTCCGGTAGGAGTGGAGGTACAACCAGACAGACCCGGAAAGAATTTCTGTATGTGGCCCTTGTTTAAAGCACCATATTCCACCTTTTCCGTACACATGCAAAAATCATGCAACAATCCTTTACCAGAACAGAGTGCATGCTGCAGATGATTGATTTGAATCTTTAAATGTCTAGAGAATATCTGTATTTTTTTTGTGCAGCCTGGTAGCAATACAATAATTGCAAATAATTTAGCTACTGTTCTTACTTTCACTTATGCAACCATTACTGACAGTGAAGACAGCTAATCTGAAGCCATTCACAAAAATAAAAATCTCCCATTTTCTTTGAATGCATCTGTTATTGTAAATCTGTTATTGGTTGCCCTTTCAGAACTATTTTTTCTTTTAACACTACTGCCATGCCTTAAAAAGTCTACATGTTGATGTGCAATAATTACAACTGAAAAGGCTAAACGTTCTTAAGCAAAATATGGGCCCTGTAAACTCGTCATCCTGAATCCATTGCGTCAACAGTACTCACAGCAACGTAGTCGTAAGAACAGGAGGAGCTGGACTCCAGGTGAAAATCAGAGAACGACAGCTGGAGTTGGCTGCCTTGACTGGCCTGAATGTTCCAGTAACACTCAGCATTGGCATGATATGGCAGCGGGTAGTTGGGAGAGGAAAACATCCCAGATGCAGTTGTCAGTGTCCCTCCACAGCCTTAAGCAAAGTCATAAAACAAATAAATAAATAGAAATGAAATAAAAAAGAGAAGCCATCTTGCATTTAAAGATAATTATGGAAAGTGTTGTCAATACTCCATATAGATTTACTGATGAATATTGTGGTTATACAAAATGTATGTATACTTTCAAGAACTGCTTCCAAAAAATTGCTTTGAAAAATCCCTAATTATTTTTTTAGTACTGAAGAAAGGGCCCACCATATAAGAAATAGATAAACTGTTTCTGATGTGAATAGCTGAAGATAAAACCCCAAGAATATCCTCTCAGCGTATGGTAATTTCTTTGTCAATAATAATATGGTGAGATTTTGATTAGCAATTTAAGATTTGACCACTTTATAATGTGTTTTTTTGTTTTAATTAATATGGCACAGTGCAGATCAGATTATGAAATGTGCCAAGATAACTAGATCATCTTTTGGTGCTCTCCTTAAATACTGTTATAAGAGAGGAAAACAAGCAGAGAAGATAAGATCTTATCCAAGATCTTAGCCAATGCTTCTTAGGACCAGATAAAGACAATCAATTGGATATGACAAAATAGAAGAGCTCCCAGGATCTGTTGCTTTAGGTGACTTATGACATGATTATTTCAAATCATTTTAAGCTTAAATGTGTACTAAGGGTCTTTTTATCAAATGGAATATATGTATCCTTGGTGATTAAAAAGTCCAGTGGGGAAAGAGAACCAACAACTGAAGGCCCACTGATCAGTGAGCACACATCTGATCACTTTTCAGTGGAAAACACAGGATTGGGCCACTGAGACCCGTGGTCAAAAAACAAGAAAAACTGATTTCAGGGAGTGACAGATTCCAAAAAGCCAGAGCAGAGACCTGAGCACTGGACTAATGTGGTTGTACTTCCTGGTCAGAACTCAAGCCGCAGCAAATCACGTGTGTTCTGTACTTTTTCATTCTAACCTGCATAAAATAGGGACTACTTATATATAAAAACATGAAGCACTCACCGGTCTGTGTTCCATCCCAATAGGCCATGAATCCACGACGTGTAACAGTGGCATCAGAGCGGAATCTTACCCACAAGCGGTTGCTATGGGACACCAAAACTGGGGGTCTCTGATCTCCACAGAACTTGCCAATGAAGGGGGATGTCTCATAGCCACCATCCCTGCACAAATAAGCAGTAGATGAAATAGTTAAGAGTGATTAGATTCATATCGCGATGTAATGCTAAATTAATCGCTTAATGGCTGTGAGTAAACTTAAAGTAACGAATTGTTGCCTTTGGATGCAAAAACACACTTATATACCCAACCTTGCCCATTATAGGTGACAAGATTATCATAATCACAAAACAGGAAGATTCCATGTTGATGATTAAATTGCAAATCTATTTCCTATACATATTCAGTTCTAATCAATAGCAATGATTAAATTGGGAACTGTACGGCTCAAATAAATTAAATAGTTGTTGCTTCTTAGAAGACCACAGATTACGATGGAAAATAGTTTTAAAAAACGCATTTTTCCCAAAGAGAAACAACTTCAACCATTTGATTTATTTTGTTACCTGATCTCCACAAAGTCAAAGTTGCAAGAAGGGGGCGAGCCCTCTAACTCAAAATTTGAAAAATTCAGTTTAATCTGCATGTTGAGCTCAACGGTGATCTTGAAGACGCAGTCTCTTGTGTTAGGGTAGAAGTCGGGATAGTTGGGTGAGCTGAAGAAGCCTGTAGGAGAGCTGAAGGACTCTCCACAGTCTGAAGAAAAGGACAGGTCAGAAAGGACTAATCAACACACTCGTTCTACATTTCTCATTTTAACTGAATTAAAAGTGCAGTATTTTTTCCCCTTTTCCCTGTAAAAACTAATATAATTTAGATATGCTGGAAAATCCTTTTTCTTTTATCTAATTTGTGTGTTAGTGTCACAAAAAACATTGTTATTACAAATTAAAAGACCCCCTGAATCCAAGCACTGAACCCAAAGGCACATTTCTGACATAGTAGCAGTTCCTCGGGATGTAGTTTAAGATATAGTCATAAAACTGAAAGGTTTTTCAAAGTTATTAAGAATTTGGGTCAGTCTATAATATTGACTAGCTCCAGATGGCAATGTATATGCAGCCACATCTCTACTAGCAGTCAGTTTTATTCCTCATACACATTGCTGTCCTAATGCCTGGCTGTTAATTGTAAGAGAGTAATTAATCACTAGAATGTTGTTTGCTATAGGACAGACTTTTTGCATTATGATGGGTCTCATATACAGAATTATGTAAATTTCTAGCCATATTGACCGAACTATGCTAATTCACTCTGACCCTAACCACACACTGCACTTAGAAAAAAAAGAGTTATGGTGGTTTTGTGGGGAACCTTCACTATAGTCACATTTCATACCAGAGTATGAAAAATTAATTTAAGACTATACTTATGAAATTTGTAAAATGATTCTGTCCATAAAAGGTTTCTGTTTGGTTATATTAATGATGATCCTTCTCTAAACACTTTGTTGAATTCGTAGTCAAATCTATTCTTACAAATGTCTCGTTCAAAGCGAATGAATCGGGTATTTTCACAAAAAAACTGAGGACCTTGGGACATTCTGCTGTATACCTGTGGTGGCATTGATAGATATGTAGCTGGCAGAGAATCCTTCGGTGGCTAAACTTGAGTCGGACACGAACAGCAGGGTCAGTTGGCTGTCCGAACTTGTGATCGATGGCGGCACTGAACGGCCACAGTACCTGCACATTAAAAAAGAAACACATCATTACTTCTGATTTACTTTACTTTGCCTTTCCTGACTGATATGTTAAACATTTCCTTTCAAAATCCAACTGGAGCAGATTATTTAAGCCGCTCTGGTCAATACTGACTGAAGTTAGGCTAACATTCAGGACTCAAATATATACAATTAAACATTGGTATATTTCATATTGTTGATGTCCAATAGATGCTGTGGTTTCATCAGAATCTTTAGTTTGTTCTGTAATCTGAGCTGTGAGAATTGACACTTGTCACAACTTTTGGTAGTTTAAGAGACATTTAGACAATTGCTTTGCTTTCAGTATTTTCTGCAATTCACATTTAAAAATAAAATGTTGGATAAATAATGGAGAAATTACATTAAACAGCAATGCTATACAAAATGAAAGTGTTAGACAGTGATAGTGAAGTGCTTTTTATTGTTTGGTTTGTCAGGAGAGGTTGGCTGTACTGTTTTTGTGTGATCTGGCTTAAAATCTGGTATGCCACTTATTGCTATCATGATTTCTTCTTGTGTGTGGCCTACAATCCTATTGGGTGAAAGCACACCAGCAGTGCAAAGACTCTATATTCAGAATTCGGAATCTTTCTTAAAACAGTGTCATATTCATTGAATATCAATAAAATATAGTCCACATGATAATAAACTTCACTGGATATTAAGTGGGCATGACGAATTTAGTCAAAAATGAGAAATAATGATTTCATTATTAGGCATTATATACTATTGGCCACATCACAATGGTGTGGATCTTTTGTTTACTCCACAAAATGTGAAATCACTCAAAAAAGTAGAAGTAAAGACCCCCAGTAAAGACCCCAAGTTTGATGTGTAAATGGAGTCAGCAGTATCTCATACTCATATCCAATACTTTGATGAATAGGTTATTAGCAGAGAGCTGTTCTGATTCGTGCATGATTCAGGAAGATTTGAGGGTGAAAGTGTTTGTGAAGTACCTGCCGATCTTGTTTCCGGTCTGCACTGTGCCATTGTCATAGATTTCCACGTAATCAAAATTACAGTTGGCATGGTACTCCAGATTAAACGAGTCAAATGACAAGCGGATCAAGTGGCCTGGCACAACACTGATGAACCAAGTACAATTTGCACCGTGGGGGTAGCTGGTGGGATGGCCGGGGCTGGTGATCACGCCTGAGAGACCGGTCAGGGTTTCCCCACATCCTGGCGTAGAAAAAAACAAAAAAAAACAGACTGAATATAATGATATCTAAGAATAACTTCAAAAATCTCATTTCAGGTCAGCATTTTTTTAGTTCAGTATTCAACACTATTATACCACAATTTAGACATCTGTAAGGTTGACAAGCTTTCGCAATTGGCTGCTGGACCTCTTCACTGATAGGCCACAGGCAGCACCAGTCAGCAACAACACCTCAAGTAGCATCGCAAATGTTTTTCTTTTTTTCCCCCTTTTTTTCAATTTTTTCCACTTTTCTTTCCTAATAACTAAAATAAAAAAAGAATAAAACAACAAAAAAAGGGAAAAAAATTAAAAGAAAAAAGAAAAAAAAAGAAAAAAGGAAAGAAAGAAAAGGAAAAAAGATTTTTTTTTAAAAAAAGAACAAAAAGGAAATACAAAAAAAGGAAAAAATTTTAAAAAAAGGAAAGAAAAAAAGTTGCATCGCATTAAGCACGCCCCCCCCAACCCAGAGGCTGCATGCCCAGTCACCTGCTCATCAACCTTCTGACTCAAACCGGAACAGCAACCGACAGCACCAATCGCAGTGAAGTTTGTAGGCAACATAACTCTGGTGGGTCTCATCACCAAAGCTGATAAGACCTGCCACAGGAAGGAGGTCACAACTCTGACCACGTGGTGCTTAATGTCAGCAAGACAGAGGAGATCGTTGCCGACCTCCGGAGAGGCCGCATCCCAGAACCACCGCAGATCATTGATCGTACTGCTGTATAGAGAGTAAGCAACGCCAAATTCCAGGGGTCCACATCAGTGACGACCTCTCCTTGACTACCAACACTGCATCACTGGCAAAGAAGGCCCCGCAGTGCCACCACTCCCTCTGCAAACACTTAAATCCAATACTAACATGTTTTCTGAGCCATCAACAGACCACCGGGAGCACTGGGAGCGTACACATGCTAACCCTGGCATCCGTGTGCAGCACAGCTCTGTGTCAGAATAATGTTCAACAAACCAGCCACAGCCGGAAGCTTTTTCCAAGCAAACTGCGGTAGCTGACAGGACAATACATGCCAATACATGTTGAGCTAGTTCACAAGAATACAGAGGATGAATATTCCATGAAAACACTCAATGGCCCATATATTTATCCCTCTCACTTCTGAGATGATGGCTACAGCCTGAGCACCCTGTGCATCGGCAGTGTTATGTGGGGCAGGAAATAAACAGACTACAACAGGAAAACCCTGCATGCCATACTACACACAGCAGGAATGATTATTGGTGCCCCACTCCCGTCCCTGCAAGATACATAAATACCCAGAAAAAGCCACCATGACAGATGACATATGAAGTACAGTAAATCTGACACTCTTACATGTGAATAAATATGGATGCGTATCTCACCTTTCAGGGCAGAGCCATAAGCTGCTTCAAAGCCATTGTTGCTCACAGAAGCGTCTGTTCTGAATTTGATGTACAAAGACTTCTGCGTGGACTGAAGCCTGGAGGGGAGTTGGTCACCACAAAATGTCCCGAGCAGAGGAGAGCTCGATGTGGACCCGTCTCTGACCTGGTCGAGGGGGTAAACATACATGGCTCGAACCGTTGTTTTTATCCATCTGATCAAGTATAATTTCTTATATGACTAATTTTAGTGATTTAAAGTAAACACACCAATTCTAACACAATAAGGAGTGGTCAGGGTAATTTAAATTCATAGAAATCAAAAGGAAATATCCTCAGTACTACATACAGTGGGGCAAAAAAGTATTTAGTCAGCCACCAATTGTGCAAGTTCTCCCACTTAAAAAGATTACAGATGCCTGTCATTTTCATCATACGTCAACCTCAACTATGAGAGACAAAATGAGGAGAAAAAATCCAGAAGATCATATTGTCTGATTTTTTAAGAATTTATTTGCAAATTATGGTGGAAAATAAGTATTTGGTCACCTACAAACAAGCAAGATTTCTGGCTCTCACAGACCTGTAACTCCTTCTTTAAGAGGCTCCTCTGTCCTCCTCTCGATACCTGTATCAATGGCACCTGTTTTAACTCGTTATCAGTATAAAAGACCCCTTTCCACAACCTCAAACAGTCACACTCCAAACTCCACTATTGCCAAGACCAAAGAGCTGTTGAAGGACACCAGAAACAAAGTTGTAGACCTGCACCGGGTTGGGAAGACTGAATCTATAATCAGTAAGCAGTTAGGTGTGAAGAAATCAACAGTGGGAGCAATTATTAGAAAATGGAAGACCTACAAGACCACTGATAATCTCCCTCGATCTGGGGCTCCACGCAAGATCTCACCCCGTGGGGTCAAAATGATCACAAGAACGGTGAGCAAGCATCCCAGAACCACACGGGGGGACCTAGTGAATGACCTGCTGAGAGCTGGGACCAAGGTAACAAAGCCTACCATCAGTAACACACTACGCCGCCAGGGACTCAAATCCTGCAGTGCCAGACGTGTCCCCCTGCTTAAACCAGTCCATCTCCAGGCCCGTCTGAAGTTTGCTAGAGAACATTTGGATGATCCAGAGGAGGATTGGGAGAATGTCCTATGGTCAGATGAACCCAAAGTAGAACTTTTTGGTAAAACCGCAACTCGTCGTGTTTGGAAGAAGGAGAATACGGAGTTGCATCCAAAGAACACCATACCTACTGTGAAGCATGGGGGTGGAAACGTCATGCTTTGGGACTGTTTTTCTGCAAAGGGACCAGGACGATTGATCCGTGTGAAGGAGAGAATGAATGGGGCCATGTATCGTGATATTTTGAGTGAAAACCTCCTTCCATCAGCAAGGGCATTGAAGATGAAACGTGGCTGGGTCTTTCAGCATGACAATGATCCCAAACACACTGCCCGGGCAACAAAGGAGTGGCTTCGTAAAAAGCATTTCAAGGTCCTGGAGTAGCCTAGCCAGTCTCCAGATCTAAACCCCATAGAAAATCTTTGGAGCGAGTTGAAAGTCCGCGTTGCCCAACGACAGCCCCAAAACATCACTGCTCTAGAAGAGATCTGCATGGAGGAATGGGCCAAAATACCAGCAACTGTGTGTGAGAACCTGGTGAAGACTTATAGAATACGTTTGACCTCTGTCATTGCCAACAAAGGGTATATAACAAAGTATTGATTTGGACTTTTGTTTTTGACCAAATACTTATTTTCCACCATAATTTGCAAATAAATTCTTAAAAAATCAGACAATATGATCTTCTGGATTTTTTCTCCTCATTTTGTCTCTCATAGTTGAGGTTGACTTATGATGAAAATGACAGGCATCTGTAATCTTTTTAAGTGGGAGAACTTGCACAATTGGTGGCTGACTAAATACTTTTTTGCCCCACTGTATACTATACTTTAACTTAGCAAAGCTTAGACGGTGCTTTAAATATGTAAATTATCCATGTTATTATTAGTGATGCTACTAGAAACTCGAGCCTGCATGTGCACATGAACAGACAAAACTCTCCACTCAACAGTGAACACTCCAGCAAATCCAATAAGGACTGGACAGGACTATAATGGTCATTCTTGTAATATTAGTATTTTGATTGAGTGAATTGAATTAACATTCATTTACCTCAACAAAGTCATAGCGGCAGGAGCCTCCTTCGACGTCAAAGGACAGAAAGTTAAGTGTGACCACATAACCCTCCTGCTGGTTAATGACCCACTCGCAGACCTTGTTGTGGGGATAAGCATTTGGATGGTAGGGCGAGCGCAATTGTCCTGTTCCAGATAACGTACCGCCACATCCTAGGAAGACAGAAGAGCAATGTTTGGTCAAGACGGAAAAAAATCTAATCTTTCATTATATGTTTTGTCATTTTACAAATTATATTGTACTAGCTCACAAATGTGATTATGAGGGTATGTAAATGGAAAGAAACAAAGGAATAAATTAATTATTGAGTTACTGAATATTCATTTTTGCTAAACAAAATCCAAAATGTCACTCCACTCACACTAATTATTGCCCTTAAACTTCTTATCAGAAATGTATGTCATCTCACATGCTAAATAATTCTCTTTGAAAACACGTGAACACAACTCTAACTGACAACTTTCCTATTTCCTATGACCTCACTTAGCTATTCCTGTAAATAACATCTTCCATTAATCAAACGGACTTAGACTGACAGGGCAAAGTTTATGTTGAGAAATAATCGGAAAGTTTACCCATACCCACAGGCCGTATTTTAATCATCAAATTATAAATAGACTGATCTCAGCACTAAAGGGGAAAACCATGTTGGGATGAGCGATCATTTCCTGATGTGTGTGCAGAAACCTCACCAACACTGTAGACTGCCCTGAAGCCAGCTCGGCTGACTGAACTGTCAGACTTGAAGCGAATCCATAAGAAGTTGGAGGATGAGAGTATGGGAGCTGGCAGGGTGCTCGCACAGTACTTTCCTATCAATGGATCCTGTTCTGTTATTCCATCACGAACCTGAAAAAAAGAGGGCCAAACCAGAGAGGAATAGGAAATATGAACTAATATCAAATACTGATATTAAATGAGCAAAGGCTAAGTTAAGGGCTGGTTCCAACTGAAACTTCACCTTAGATTTGTGCCCAAATAAGTTTCTGGGAAATGAAAATAGCGGTTGATACTATTTTTCATTGTTACTAACTGCGAAGAAAGTGAACCACATGAAAGGGGTTAAAACCCAAATACTACCTAACCAGCAGGTCCACCTCAGTTCTACTCCATGACAACACAGACACTATTTTCTTTTCAATATGGCGGAAATTAAGTGTTTTAAAGGTATAATCTGCAATATCAAGCCTTGGATTTTACAAAACATTTGTGGATTTTTTAGGGAGATAAATAACTCTTAGATGGCCCTATTTTAGGCAGTTTTTCACTAAGTTCTACAAACAAAATTCCTCCCTGATCAGCTAGGAGGACTCTGACAGTTGCTGAATGGAGGGAAGATACTGACTACTTATGTATGTTAGAAACTCTTTATTGTTGTTGTTAGTTACATCAACCACTTATAAAAAGCACTGTTTCTTATTGGGGTCACTCAGTTCTGGGCAAAACCATAAAAGGGGTGCTACTGAGCTATTAGCAATATGATACTTATGAAATACAAGAGACAGGGATTGGAAAATGTTATTTAACTTTGTATTTGAGCAATACAATCTTTGCAGCACGCAGCACTGATTTAACCTATAATGTGAGATAATAAATCAAAATAGCATTTAAATCTGCCCCCCTATCACCTAGGATCAGATTAAACACCTTTCAAATTTCCCCAAAAATATGAGAAGATTTTTGACAATTTGTAATTTAGGGGAAATAAACTGGAAATAATAAAACTTTATTGCCAAATAACGTAAAAATCAGCACTGGTACGGCTAACTGGAGTAAACATTTTGTTTATAGTCCCAAACAAGTCTTACCTCTACAAAGTCAAAAGCGCAGTTGCTGTGGCTTTCCAGATCCATGTCAGTGAAATTAAGGGCCACCTTTTCACCTGCTGGCAACCTGATCAAATAGATACACTGGCGGTTGTGGGCATAGTTATTAGGCCAGTTTGGGGAAATGATAATGCCCTCACTGTCAGTGAACGTACCACCACAACCAGGGTCGCCTAAGACAAAAAAGACAAGATAGTATCCCATTTTAAAAGCTGTATGGGTATTTCCATGACTACTAAATAATGTTCAAACATCTATAAATCCAAGTTCAATGATTCCTGCTAGTCGCAACCTGCAAGATACAGGCAAAGTCAGTTAGTGGGTAGCAGCTAGCTGAGTTTGTTCCCAGTTTTCATGACGCTGACCTGTCTCACAAGTCAGTGTTTTGGTAAAATTGAGGTAGACTGGTAGAATAAGTCAATAAGTCATAGCATATCCACACCACACCGTGGACTGGGATTGAAATCAAACCAAAAACAAGTTTGTGGAAAAGACAATAACAGAGGCAGAAGATTATTTTGGCCACACATACAGTACATTGAACATTATTAAAAGGTAGACAGTAACACTATCTATTCTTCGTATACTACCGTATCAGGTGGCTGTAAACGGTGACCCCTCGCCTGAATAGATTATTTTCTTGTTTTGTAAGACCAGACACAGTCCCACCTCATCACCTACCTTCCTTACACTTCAGGAGACACCTGACTGTAAACCCCAGGAAGGGTGCAGGCCTGAATGTCCACCTTTTTGTCTCGACTTCCATCTAAGATGGATTTAGGGCCTCCCGACGGACCACCCACACCCTGTCAGGCTTGGCCCCCACCCTCCCAGTCAACACCGGCTCCCCACAAGGATGCGTGGACACTACTTACTTACTTGAGATTATCGTTGACTTACTTGGGGAAGTTGTATATGTAATGTGGAAGCCTCTGTCTGAGACGCTGGAGTCTGAGTGAAAGTGGATCCATGCATTTGGGCCTGTCGTCTGTAAGGGGGGGGGCAGTCCAGTGCTGCAGTACTTTCCGATGACTGGGTCCTCAGGGAGAAGGCCATCCCTGATCTACAACATTTAGACAGATACAACACTTGAACAGACACGAAGATTATATTGTACCAGTGCATAACCCCAAAAAATTAAAACACAATAAACATACAATATAGAACATTAAAGAATTAATGCTACGAGCATGAATGGGAGAAGTAGAAGTTCTCACCTCGAGAAAGTCAAAGTTGCAATCAGGATGATTTTCCAGACTGAGGGTCCCAAATGCAAACATGATGAGGAGGCCAGGTTCCACGGTCACGGTCCAGTAGCAGTCCCGACCAGGAGGGTAGTTTCCGGGATAACCAGGTGAGTTTATGCTGCCATAGGGAGCGGTTAGTTCCTCTCCACAAACTGGAATTAAAGACAGCTCATGAAAAGGTCCTTATTTGTTAGATTACACAATCAGTTTGCATGAGATGAATGGATGGATAGGTGGATACACACACTGAAACATCTTTGGAGGCAAGTTCAAAGCCAGTTGTCCAAGTAATATCAAAAGATCAAGTTCAGTTTCTACCAAGGACATTTTCTGTCCCTACATATGGTACAGAAGCCCCTATGCCACCTCATCATACTGTGACTGTAAATGCCAGTTCTAAAGTAGTGCAACAATCAGCAACCTCTTCTTAATCGACAAAATCAAATTAAAACACGGACCCATGACAGACCTACAAGAGGTCGTCATAACAGAAATTGTGGATCCGGTTGCCCTTTTAAGCACAAAGGCATTTATATTACTGCATTTATGTTATGTTGTCTTCTGGAGATGATGTAGTAAGAGAAATAAAATCCACATTATTTAATCTGTCAGCTCAAGTTGGATCTCAATTGTGATTTGGTGAACTTTGAGGTTCATTGGAGTCCAGCCCTGCCAAAAAATAATATTATTTTGGGTAATTTGCTGACTACTAACTGTGTTCTGGCTACGGTCTTCCACTTTATGTCAAAGTATATACAGTCAGAATTATGCCAAATTTAAACACTGATATGATAATTCTGACGTTTTGTATTCCTAAACTTTTTAAAAAGTTATTAAGGGTTAAGTCATTTGACAATCACCTTCTGATCAAAAACAAAGGAAGAAAAATCTCCCAACCTGGATCCTGACTCTGCCAGGCGACTGTGAAGCCCCCAGCACTAACAGAGTGGTCAGAGCGAAACCAGAAGTATAGCGAATTGAATGAGCTGTGAAGTTCTTGGGGGTTATTTTGGCCACAGTATTTTCCAAGCATGTGAGCGGAGGCACTATCCCCATCATGGATCTGAAGAAAGTCAAAGTTGCAGTTGGTGCTGCTCTCCAGGTGAAAAAAAGGAAATGTGATGCGCAGAATCTGAAAAAGGACAGCACAAAAAACAAAGGTTCAAAATGCTTAATTTGAAATAATATATTCTTGTAAATGCTCATGATGCTCATTTATCTGAAAGAATGAATTTTAGTTGTTATATACACTATCAACACATGACCATATGTGGAAGGCTGTTAGTAGACATCCCTTACACACTCTTCTGTGAATGATAAAACAGAATCTAATTAACTATTTTAAGAAAAATACAAATCATACTGCAAATATGTGGATACCTATAATAACCAGCAGCTGAAACCTGTCCTCACATTATGTATCTTTTTGTTTAGGTATTTGGCAGATGCTTTTATTTTGAAAGAAGCTTGGAATAAGGATACAACATTGAAGTTAACATCAACTGAACAATAAGCTACACAGAAAGGAAATCACTTGTCAGACTCTGTTAGAGGTAACAGTGGTGACAGTGTAGTATTAGCGGGAAGTACAGACAGAGTGGTAGGGGGGGTGTGGGGGGGTACAGGGTAGGTGTTAAACAGGAGATGCTCTCTGAAAAACTGGGTCTTAAACAGTTTTTTGAAAATCGACAGGGACTGCCCCCTTCCTGTAGAGCTTGGTAGGTCATTCCACATGAAAAGAGGATAAAATGTGTTCATGAGTTGTTTCATAATCCTATCACACTGAAACTGTTCTGACAAAATGCCTGATGGTTATCTATGTTACTCCTGTGTTTTATGTTGAAGTTACATGCCAGTCCGCTATGGAGGACTATTAATTAGATCTCTTCTTGATGCTGTAGGTGGTTTTAAAAGATGCATGGTGGGATAAAGTTGACCCTATCCACATGAGGAATTATCTTTACTGATTAACACTTTATTACCTTCCCTTTCCCTCAAGAGAGCTGGGATTGTAACAATATGTAAGTATTTGCTATCGCTCCTGTATATATCTATTATGTGAGTTTAAGAAATGCTCAGAGTCTGTTCTCTTTTTTTGGAATAGAATTAGCAAGAACTGTTGACTACCTGGTAATGTGTACTAAACAATAAATCATGTTTTAATAAAAAAATTAACATATAATATAAATAATATAACAAATGAAACTGAAACAAAATCAATTAAACTCATAGTAGACGCCTGTTTCCTGCATATTCATGACATTAACAAGTTTTAACATAAATTGCTGTCTCCTTCATATTTGTCAAATCTGTATATATATATATAATATTTCATAGACCAGTCTTGTTTCATTGGTTAGATTTAACCACTCCTCCTTAACAAATAAAATAAAAATACTATTGTAAAAATGTATTGAACTCTGCTGTCTTTCTTATTTATAACATTTTAAACTAATTTCAAATTCAAGCTTTTGTTTTAAACTATGTTAAAAAAAAATCTTGAAAGGAGTCCGGTTTCACCACAGGTAGAGAGAATATACCAGCTACTGACCTTATGAGGCTCGGTGTGGATCACCCATGCACAGCTGACCTGGTGGTCATAGTCATCGTGACCTGGCGTGTTGGGATAGCTGAAAGAACCAGCGGGGCCAGTCAGATAGCCTCCACACTCTGCAACACAGAGAAATGGTCAAAATCCATCCATCCATCATCTATACCACGTATTCCCTGTACGGTCACAGGAGGGCTGGAGCCTTTTCAACTGATAATGTCATTACACATATTTAAAAAACTTAAAACAGCATCTACCGCTATGAAGTAGGTGTCTTCAGGTGTGATATCAAACTATTGTCAAATCCTTTACATCACTAGAGAGGGAGGTTTCTGCTGTTTGATCAGTAGAAACCTCTTCTGATATAAACAGTCCAAAATCTCAGTCTTAACTAAAATCTATCGGATATAACAAATACATTACAAAGGATATGTATGTCTTTGGAAATCAATTCATAGTTTTTTGGAATTCTTTATCTGCCTTACAAGCTGTAAGGCAGATTAAGCTGTTAAGATCTCTTAATTTAGACCATTCTGGCACATTATTTCTAGTAAAAACATGATTTACAGGATAGTTTTTCCTCGTCTGACTAACCAGGTAAAGCAGTTTTGAACAATATGCCATATTCGCTCCTCCATTCACACGCTATGTGGCGTCTTTTCGATCAAACAAATTAATAGAAAGCAACAGTAGGAAATATGGGGCTCGGTGACCGCAGATCCTTTGAAATTGGGCCAGGGAAAGCTGGGAGCTGAGCCGATGACAATCCAATTGACGGAGGATTGCTCCTTTTCCTAAACAACAGCCACCGGCAAATAACAGTTTTTTGTTATGCTTTGTCTGATAAATTTAATCAAATCAGTCCTCGTGATTATATGCAAAAATGTACTTTAGAAATATAGTCTTTTCATATATTTGTTTTATATTTTTATCTTTCATTAGGGTGAAAGACATATGAATTATTCTCAACTGGTCAGGATTAAAAAGACTGTATTTAGTATCTCATACCACGTTTATTATGTTCGTATGTGGATTCTATGTTCTTGCAGTTTTGTTCACACTTATAGTCTGTATCTTGTGCTGTTGGTACCTTGTTGTGCGGTTTGACAGAGTGGGCCGGTCCACTGGGCTGTGCAGGTGCACGAGAATCCATTAATGCCGTCAGTGCAGGTTCCTCCATTTTGACACGGGCTGCTGGCGCATTCGTCGATGTTTTGGTCACAATTGGTTCCTTGCCAACCAGGATTGCAGTTACAGATGTAGCCAGGAGCTGTACTAGTGCTCTTCAATAAATAAAAAAAGATTTTGTTAAATTCCTGCAAAAAATTGGCCATTATTTCTATTGTAATGTTGGAACTTATGACCAAAATTTCCTATGACTTTTTTAAACTTGGTTTAAAATGAATGTCATCCATCCATCCATTATCAATATAAAATGAATGTCATTTCAATTGTTTTCATTATCTTATTTCATGCCTCCATTGCCGTGGTAACCTGTTTTACCCGGTTTTTAGGTCTGAAAACATCTTGAAGGATGTTTCACAGCAATACTTTGGAAGGTAGGGGGAATTTGGGATACTGTGTGATCAAACCGGTATCCACAAGACTCCCTGTATTCCCAGTACGTCACATTTCAAGATGGAAACGTATTTTGAAAGATGCCCATGCCAGAAATAAGTTCATATTTATATAAGTCAGAAAAGTGTCGAGGTGCACACTCTTACCACACACTGTCCGTTGACACAGGGATTGTTGGTTTGACAGATGTTACTCAACTGGGCGCAACCAGTTGGACCAAAGCCATTGCCCGTGAATCCAGGTGGGCAGGTACACACAGGGAGGCTTGAACCTAATGGATATTGGATGTGAGCCGAGAAGGAAAATGCATATCTCATCAGAAAAGCTATTTAAATTCTTTAAAAAAAACAAAACAACAACTTTGTGATTGGTGTTTTTATTGTGGAAAAAAATACAACAAAATGATCATGTCATGCATGTTTGCTTTACCTAAACTGGAGGTGCAGGTTGCCGTGGGGTAACAGCCTCCGTTGTTTGAAGAGCAGATATCAGCTTGTGTGCATGTCTTCCCATCCCCCTCATAACCTGCACAAAGACAAGAATGGTGCATAACACTTCACCCCAGCGCTGGTGGTTACGCTCTAAAAATTCATTTGAACAGCCCAAACTGAGGGATGTTGGTGCACAAGCCATTCTGGTAAACAGTGGTGGAAGTTGAAGAGGATGGCTAAGATGGCATTGTTGTAAGTGGTAAGTTTTGTATTTTGTCCTCCAAAGTGTCACAGATATCATTGTTATTTCAAACCAGGCTGAAATGGATGACTCCTCCAGCCCATTTCACATGTTGTTTTTATTTGTATGGAAAACAGATGCTATCTATCATAGCTGGTGTTATCTTTCTCAGATGGGAAAAGGACAAGACACGTAAAAAAAAACAGCGCAAAACAGCTAGACTCAAATCTGAACAGCATGGGAGATTAACTTTATGAAGATCCTCTACTGAGAATTTCCTTCAATTATCAGTGAGAGCCCTCCAACATCAAAATCATTAGGCGTTAAAACTTTAACAATAACTAAAAGTAAGATTAAGCTCTAGCATCCATCCATCTATTTAAGGTCTTTACCACATTCACTCCTATGAGCAATTTTGAAGTTAAATTTGACTTAGCATGCACGTTTTTTAATTGTGGGCTGAAGTTGAAGTACAATGGAGAACAAGCTCCAAACAGAAACCAGGAGCCTTCTTGCTGTTTGGCAACTGTACTAATAATAAATATATACTGAATAATCAATGCGAATGGGAAATGCTCTTAAAGTGCTACACTGTTCTGGGATGAGTTTATTGTAGATACTGACTAGGAAAAGCCCTGCTTATTGTTTTTTATATATATTTCTATTATATTTCTATTATATATACTATATACTATACTATTATATACTATTATTATCTACTATTATTATACTATTATATATACTATACATACTACCAGACTGCTCTTAACAATATTTATCAATGTCTCCATATGAACATTCTTTACTGGAACATAGCTAATCGCTTATAGTACTTAATTATGGAAATAAGTATATTGATTGGAGTAACAGAAAGACATTCAACTTCAGTTGAATTTGAAACTACATAGTATACCTGGAGGACAGGAGCCACAGTGGAAAGAACCCATCGTATTCAGGCACGGCACCATTGGAGTGGTGGAACAGCCACCATTATTTGTCAGGCATTCATCCACATCTTGACAGCTGTAGCCATTGCCTTGCCAACCTGAGGAATATTTGGGAAAAGAAGTCAATCTTTAATAACCACTTGCTGTATATAAGATGAAGCAGAGCTCGTTATCCTTGGGAATGGGCTCATTTAACAAAAAACAAAAACTATTTGATTGCTGTTCATTGTAAGTTACACCAGAATCATCATCAGGAAGTACAGTGAAAAGAAGTTGCTAATGTAGGTATTTTATATTTAGTTGTTTTACATCTTTAAAACAAAACAATTCATTTTTATCAATCCTAGACCATTTTTCTATTACTTTTTTAAAATAATGATGTATGTCACTGTGTTACCTGAAGGACAGTCTCCACAGTAGAAAGAACCCTGAGTGTTGTGGCAGGGAACCAGAGGGTTGGTGGAACAAGGTGGCGTGGATAAGTTACACTCATTAACATCTGCCACACACGCTGGGTTCCCAGGTGGAGCCTCCCAGCCGTTCTCACAGATGCACTTGAAATTGGGCTGTTCATTGACATAAAATGATGTGAAACACAGAGGAAAAAAAGAATAAAGAAAAAAAGAAACCAAATGTAGGATTGAATTTGAAAACTTAATAGCTTTTAACAGGTGTCAAGCAAAAACGTTACCATATATTTGACAAGTTAAGGTGGTTTGCCCAATGGGTGATGCAAAAAGATCAAGATTTGTAGACTATGATGGTAATATTAATGGTAAAAAGACAATAGAATCTTCTTTACAGCTTTAAAACTAAATTCCAGGGTAAAAATAAATGCACTGTGATGACTAGTTACCTGTCCAGGTGTAATCCGATCTGCATCAATACATAAACCCCGGACACACAGGTCTTGCCCTGCATTTCTGCAGTCGTCATAACGCACGGTGCAGAGACTCCCTGACCATTCTGGAGAACAATTACACCTGTAAGCAAAAAGAAATCACTTTTAAAATACATGGATGGTCTAGGATTGATGGGCATCAAATGGCATTGGCATTAGCGTTGTCCCCTTTTTCCTGGCCACACAGTCAGCCCTGACTCAGCAGCTTCATCATTGCAAAAAACTAAACCTATAAAGTTTAAATTATGCATCTGCTCTATAATCTAAATATTTCTATGTACTCCACAGACAGCCTCTGTGAAAGGGTTCTGCATTTTGACAGAAAACACTATTTTAGTTAGCTTTTGGAAATATCTAACTGAGTTAAGAAATTTGAAGCCAGGCAGAATCTGCTGTCTTTTGATGTCAGATGATTCAAACGGTCACATTTTAGCCAGATTTGTCTTTTTGTAATAAGGCATTCTATGGTAACAAGTTCTATTGAGGATCCTTAAACAAGCTGAGACGATATATTGTATCAAAATGGTGGGAACTGTTCAGAAACAATAATGATACGATGATATGTGAAATAATAACAGACTTACTTTTTTCTAAGAAAGTTTAAAAAGAAAGTTATAAAGTAAGAATAAAGTTTAAGACTTACGTGAATGATCCAGGACTGTTGTTACAGGTTGCACCGTTCTGACAACCCTGCACGGTTCCTGAATACAGCTGACATTCATTTACATCTGTGGCACAGTTTTGGCCCTAATTGACAACATATAGAAAAAAAAAAAGAATCAAAGATAATAGTGAAACCTACTTTCAATTGATTTGATTTATGATTAAATTAAATGTAGTCTTGTATTTCTTAGCAAACTAATCAGATATTGTTATCATACGTTGTCTATATGATTTTAATATGGAAGCTCAATATTGTTTTCACCAATGGATCTGTGATCACTAGAAATGCAACAAATGTTAACCCAAACCCTAAAAGTGAAAGTAACAGTAGCTTGCATTTAATCAGCGATTAAGGAGGAGCTAAATGGAATGGCCAACGATTGTACTTTGCAACAGTGTGAAACTTACAGTCCAGTTGTTGGGACACACACAGTGATAGGAGTTTAGTAAGTTCAGACATGTTCCTCCATTCTGGCAGGGGTTACTATTGCAAGACACCTTTTGGACTGTCTACGGAAGAAAATGAGAGAAAAACAAGGCTAAGTAGCTACGGTCTCAGTTTATGTCATCAGCACAAATTTTTGTAAATCCTTACCAATTCAAGAGCATTTAATTTGCTCTCCATTGTTGACACCTGAAAGGTATTTGAAAATAGACAGGAAAATAAGGTGATGACAGTAGATTTGAACACTGTATTTACATTACCATCATTATTATGTTGGAAATGACTGAAAGAGCCCTAAAATATGATAAATAATTACCTTTACTTAAAATCATAAAGATCGTCTAGTAAGCTGAATTCTAAGATTTTTATTGCATTTTTATTCCGAGTTGCTTTAACTCAAACATACCACATAGTCTTTTTCAATAAAAGTTGCACATTACCCCTTAAACTTTGTACTTTACAAACAATATCCATGGACATGGATAAAAATTGGTCTTACCTTGGTATCAAGCTGATTTAGGTGGTTGGTGATTTCCGGTGGAATTGCACCTCCATGAGTCTTAATTTCATTAATCTCTTCTTTGTTGACTTTGATCTGAAATAAGGCGATTTATCATTCAAGATTTACTCCTGAGGTACCATTGAATATGAGGCTCATATGAATATTGGCATATGCCTTTCCAACATCCAAAGCATAGAAAAAATGGCAATAACACATCTTGCAACAAAAACAATACAAGCTGGAAATCAAACCAATTTTTCAATTTGCACACAACCACGCAAAAACTTCTCAGATAAAAAACATTGCATAAACAATACGTATCAAATATTGTATCAAATATGATACATATGGCGTTACAGGGTTGATGACTGAAGTTTTTAAGGCCTTTTGAAATGCTTTATTCTGAAGTGAGATGTTGATGGATGAGCCATTTGTGGAGACAAACTGCTCAGCCCAGACCTATGGAGTCTAGTGTGTCGATGGGTTCAGACTGATTTCTTCAACCATTACACTTAAAACTTAGGTCTAAAGGGAGTGAAAATGCCCTGTTGGATCTCAGTGCAGCTTTTATTACAACTGTTCACAGCATCCTTTGACACTGGCTCAAATGTGTCGTTTGGAAAGGTACTGCACTGAGCTGGTTTAGGTAGTTTAAAGAAATTATGAATTTAAGGTTAAATACGAATACATTTACAGGTCCTGAAAAACAATTCTGAAATGTTGCCTGCTATTTTTATCCACAGCACAGAGTAATGGGCTGTTTTCCCCCTTTCTTTGCACAATATTGACAGATAGTTGCTTTGAGAAATATATATATATTTTTTGTTGTCCACCATATGTAACCACTTGTGTGCATTTATGGATGCTTCTACATTTACATTTTAATTTAATTTTAAGTTTAAATGAGCATCTTGTTGACACAGATAGTGGGTCACACATCAGAAGGCAATCAGGGTTCAGTTCTTCAGAAAAATGCCCACTGTCATCATAACATGGTTCTCCTCTTTTTATTAAACTAAAGCTAGGTCACATGTGTGTATTGCTTTATAACATTTACCAGCACAGTTAACACCCTTTTGCTAAAAACATTTAGGACATATTACATTTTGTTGGAAGGCTATAAAATGAACTGCCTGAACACGTTATGGTTTCCATCCTGAATCTGCCAGCATCAGTAGACATAGCACCTGATCTTTGGTCTTGCTATATCTGCTTTCGAACTTGTTAATCATCTCCTAACTCACATGAGTAACAGCAGCCTCTCGGTCCTAAAAAGCTGTTAAGAGGTTTTAACAACTTATTTTCATATGTTATGTATATAAAGGTGTGTACATTTTATAGCCATTTAGATTATTTCAATGATTAGTTTACTGTTCCAAGTTCAGAAACTAGATTATTTGTCTAAATACATTAGAATAGTAAGGGTTTAACACAAGCAGCAACATAAGGAAACGTGCTAGATGAGAGCATTTGCAAATAGCAGCTGTATATTTTGTTCTATTTGGTCAAAAATCACTCAGTAACTGGGAGATAAATAGAACGACTTCTTTTAGGAGCCTGTGTTTGTGGGTAGAAAGATACAAGAACCGTATTTAAAAATCTAACTTGGATCTTTGTGATATGCCTTACAATACTGTGCTCTCATCACTCCTCTTCATAGGATGCACAGTGAGAGGATTTTTGAATAAAAGTTTGCTGTGACCATGAATTTAGTGTGAGCAGGAAAAAAAAAAAAGATATCAACTTGGTTGATATCAGATGGTTATCAATTGTTTTCCTTTTTGTCTCAACGATTACATATTTAAAAATTTACTTCAATGTCCATGGTATGGATAATTATATCAATCCAAAATGATATTCCACCTAATCTTACCTGACTCAAAAGTTGGGTGAGGTCTTCATCCCCAACTTTGACCCGGCCCGATGCTGAGGCCTGGAAGCGGATGTCTTTACTGTCACCGGTGGTGAAAACAAGGTGACCACTATCTGAAAACATCCGAGGCCTAAAGCAACAGCACATACAAAAAAAAAAAGTCTACACATTGTTTTTTAGAAAAAAAGTTTGTCATGACCTCATATATTTCCTAAAACTCAAAAACGCTTGTGACCCACAAAGTTTGGTGACTTTATGATATGACATGCAACAAATAATAACATATAACAAAGCTATATGTGCACTAAGGAGTACTGTGCGGCTCACACGCATACAAATATTCGTAAGTGCTCCCCGTTCGCTCGGTAGAAAATTAAACTCACTGTGTCAATTGTGCATCGTCCCTTGGCTTGTCCTGCAGATCCACCAGAAGGAGCAAGTTTAAAAAGAAAAGCCATGATAGCCTCTGCATCCCAGCCATGGAGGAGAGGTGTCTGGTTTGTGGACTCTGAAAACTGTTTCTGGGGTTTCACATGCTCCCTCTCTCTATTATTCCCTCCTCAGACTTTGACCTAACAATAAAGGACATCTCCATTTACCTAAGAAGGTTAACTTTAGTTTATTCATTATCATTCACTACTGTTTTACGGCACTATACTGTTGAGTCAGAATGCCCTGCACATGATTTTGAAGATGAGTAACTTGTTTCATGTGACTGAGTCAAATACAAATAGTCAGATAAATATATGTGTGTATGCCTCTATGACATAATAAAACCGACTCAAATTAAATGTATGTTTCATAGATGTCTATACAAATCTTAAATTAAACAATTATGTTTATCTGAATGAAAAAAAGACATTTATAAAATATTTTTGCTAAAATACAGAAACTCAGTCACTTAATTTCTCAAAACGTACTTTGTTTCCCTCCTTTCACTGGATTCCAGCGCCAGCGCCAGGTGTCTGATCAGAGCCAGGTAAGACCACCTTCATCCCATCCATAGCCTGTTCCGCCCTCGGGGAAAAGGGTCAGTCGCTGGTCACTAAGACCGTGTGGAGTTAATGGAAGATGGGGCCATTCGTTCTCTGTTGGTATCAGTTAGGTGAGCAGGATGAAAATTGGGGCCTTTAAGTACCTTGGGTATGCAGACTTCCAACAACGGGGGAGTGTTTAAAGTGGCCGGTCGTTGTCTTGGAGACGGAAAATCGAGAAGGACCAGGAAGAACACCGATTCAACGATTAAGCTTTCCTATGGAGGTAACAGGTTATGATACTGATAGTTTACTTCCTATTTCTTAACATTCAGCTGGAGAAGTGTCATTCAGTTTATTTCATTCCAATACATTTAAAAAAAATCTTGTTTACATGTTGACAAAGTTTTAATATTAACAAAAATGAAAAAACACACTCAAAGATTCTCCTATGATCATTGAGTGGTGTTGTAGCTTATTCAATATAAAACAAATGATCAAAAACCTTCATATTGGTGGGATATGAAAGCACTGAGCATCTCCAATATTAGAATCCTTTTACATGTCAAAGCTAATGCGCCATGCTATAAACATGCAATAAACCACTGCACTCTAAACCACTGTTTTTTTTTACTACACAGTGGCATAGTCTACATTTTTGTAAGGCTAATTACAAAAACATATGGCTTTAGTCTTATGTTTGCAGTCTCTTCTTAGGCACAGCGGTAATAGATTCTGTTCATTTACTGAAAGTTTGAGCTTGCAAGTGTTTCTGGGGGTAAAAATACATTTTTACTTTATAGAAATAAAAAATTTAAAATAAAGCTTTGGCTTAAAATCAAGAAAGAAACAAAGTAATAACAGGTCTCTGTACATCAAATACATTTTTTTTTTTTTTTTTTTTACTTAAAAATATATTTTAATAGTTTTACAAAAATGGACATCCATTGTCTAAAACAATAAAAAATATAGCCCTCAAGAACAAAAAAAAAAAAGATGCCAATAACCCTAACCCAACAAAATATTTGACATGTTGATGCCCAAACGGGCAGAGTCCCTTTAATCACCACTTGTGAAGTAGCCTGACTAAAACCAAGCAGCTAGAAAGTCACATTTCTTTATTCTATTGACATAAAGTTACATTTTTAAAGCACGTGCTAGCGGTCAAATATAGTAATTTGTAGAATTAAACATTAGGGTTTACTGAAAACTGTCAGAATTATTAAAAAGAGGATTAGATTTTAGAGGTTTAACAACATTTAAAGTATTTTTCTCAAAATTGGGAGACCAACTAGAAAGTGAAATGGTTTTTAATGTGTGGTGCGAAATCATTGACAGGTATTACTTCGACAACACATTAATAATATATAGGTACTTCTATTTTGAAAATATAATATTTTGTTTTCATGTTGTTTCATTTGGTCATTTTAAAATTGTGTTTGCAATTTAGTAAAGATTTTCGCAGAACATTTGTCCTGCTAACATCCCTAAAAACATGATTTTCAAACATAGAAGTGTGGCAGAAGGCACCTGGTGGCAAAATGTTCTTCAGGAGAGCAGCGTCTGTAGAAGTTTGGCTACCACCACGACATTAAGACTATTTCCTAAAACTCTGTATCGCTGAATGGTAGAGATCTCCCCCGGAAAAGCTGGAAAGACATTAAGTGGATATTCGGCTTACAAATAAAATTAGGCAAATAAAGAAATTAAGAAAACATAAGAATGTAAAAAAAAATGTAAATGCTCAATTTGACACAGGATTAGTGGAACGCTGGTCGTAATTCTACTTCTGTTGATGCTTTACAAAGTTAGACACGTCTTCAGGCTCTAACTGGGTGGATGGTGTCTGATTAACAGTAATTAGAAATGATTGTTAATTATCATTAATGTTTAATTGAATAAAAAAAATAAAAGTGAAATGAAAGTTCTTTTACTTACAGAAATTGTGAGGGAAGCCCATGAGGTTGGCTACTTCTCTGGGAGTAAAATAACGGAGCTTCAGTGTCAGCAACTGCTGTATTTTTTCCTCCTCAGGGAGCTGGTCCAGACCATTAAACACGCTGTCAATCTAATGAGGAAAAAGAGCAAACAACAACAGCATGGTGAGATAAATGCCAGTTTTCTAGGGCTACAATAAAAAAAAAGTTTAAAAATTCCTTAAATTCATTCCTTAAATTATACATTTCTTAATGTTCAGTTATGTGCGGATTTATGTCTAGGCTATATGGCCATATTTTTCTGGAGCTACACCTACACACTACATTTCCCAGGATGCACTGGACATTCTATGATGTCCATCATTATTCATAGGTTTGGTTTTCCTTTAAATCACTGCTTCATCCCCCTGTAGGGGGCGGGGCTGCTCATTTATGCATTTCATGATGGAAAATTGAAACAGAAATTGACCGAAGAAAAACACACACTTGACATTCATCCCATTAGATAATAAGTTACATCTCTTTCATACAAGTACTGAAAGCAGGACCTACCTGAGTTTCTGTGCAGCACTGCAGCACTGAGCCGGTTCCTTCTACGTACCTCCCATAACTATTGGTTGGAGCACAGCACAGAACTATCATTATTCTTTGAAACAGCAATAAACTAATGCATGTTTTCTTTCAGCAAAATGCTTTAAAAAAACAATTTAATATAAAAAGAATTGTAAAGGAATATTATTTGTGGCCTGGGTTGACTGAGGGCTCTCTCTACTCAAAAAATGGGAATAGCTTTGCAGATGAAGCCGAGTGGATTTTGTAGTTCACTTAAATAATACAATTCAGTTTTATTTATATATTAACAAATCAAGGAAATGACAATTCAGTTCTTTGTAATACAATCATAACATAATCAAATCTGATTAATTCATAAATCAAAAGAGAAAAAAGGAAATAAACAGATTGTTTAGAAAAGTCTTCTAATCTGCCATAGGTCCCATAGGTGACGGTGGAAAAAAAAAAAGAAAACGTGGTCTGGACTGCATGAGTTAAGGAATGTTACAAGATTATTGCCTGTATTTTGCAGAACCACACACACCAGCACACACCTGTTCAGTATTTTATCAAACCCACAAGGAACCAACCCAATACAGTCTCTTTAACTTCAACAGAGTAAGTAGGACAGGGACAAACAGAACCAGTGACACAGTGGAACAAGTACATCAAGACAGCTCTACAGAGCCTCCTATGTTTGATTTAAAAAAAAGATTTTTATGGTGAGTTTTGCTGTTGAATGCTACTGAAGAAGAACTTAAACATTAAGTCTAAAGTTGGTATTATTCTAGCTCTAATGATTACTTGAAGAAGATACAATACTTTTCCCAGTCTCGCTTGGTTTTTCTAGAGTTCCATGGGCCAAAAAAATAAATAAAAAATAACTATACTGTAAACCTACCCTTTGGTGAAGCAGACAGATCTCCTGCATTTTGGCCGAACAATGTCCAAGATGGCCCCGTAGCGGAGCAACGTTTTAGGGGAAAGGAGATGCTGTTCCATGTCTACATCCAGCTCCGGCTCCAAGAAGTCTTGAATCTGCCTGACAGATGGGTCCTGGTTCTGGGTGGTTTTCCTCTGAGCGTCCGTCCTGGTTTCACGTTTATAAAGCACCGGGCCGCCGGGAATTTCCTCTTTTACCTGCTCGGCAACTGACAAGGCCGAGGGATGCGTGGGGGGGGCACTGTCAGCCAGGTGTGGAAAGACATCAGAAATCTGAAGATGAAAAACTGAGTAAATAGTCTCAGACATATAAAGCTGTCATAACAGATTTTGAACTGTAACATTTGTTCCAATTCAGCGAGATATGACAAAGGCAATACTCTTATACCAATAAAATCTGATAACATCTGTATTTCTCTTGCTCCTTATAGCCTTGTTAGCATTTTTTCTTGAGCATGTCTGCAACCTGCGATGGTGCATTTGTTTTTGCACGTTTTGTTTTTTCCAAAGGTCTGGCGAAGAGTGTAATCAGAACAGCCCAATGAGCATGTGCATACTCTTTTATGTCTTAATAGTTTAACGATAGTGGAGTTTAGCACACTTTAAAACGCATAAACCTGACCGGAGGGTGGGTCAGTCATATAACCAGCTTCAAATTTCTTCTCTCTACAAGAGGGAGCCAGTGAGGCTGCTCCTGCCTTATGTCGATACTTAGTTGTTTGACTTTCTATTTTTAACGTATTAAGTTTGTCAGTGCTGTCGTTTTGGTATAATTTAGACTTGGACTTAGACAACTTTACTATTAGTTTTATATGTACAGAGTGAATACAGAATGACATTTCGTTGCTTACAGCTTTACAGTTTGTAAATTGGACCAAAATCTCTGACTGAACTAGTCGTTTGAAGGAATAGCAAAAAAAGTTTAAAAACATAAAAAGCAACGGTCTAAAAAACATTTTTGTTACCATAAGGCAACCATGTCTTAAAAATTTGAGTTTTTAACATTTCTCATTGTGTCAATAATGTGGTCATTATATCTCACCTCTGAACTTGTCTGGATATTCAGATCTCCTGCTGAAAGTTTAGCAATCAGGAAGTAACGCAGCCTGGAATTTGGGATCCCAACCTACATAATGAATAACATGAAATAAAGATCTTAATTGCAGATAACATACTATTTTCACAAAGTAATATTTCAGACAGGTTGGATAGAATTAGTGATAGTGCACACATTTCTTACACTTGTGGGTGAGACCATGATCTCCTGGAAATTGTATCCACATTGGATTAGTGTCCTTAACAGAAGATCCCTACAGCACAGAAGTACAAAATGAGGAAGATGAAGATTTTTCCTTCATATGTGATGACATATATGAAGGGCAAACACTTTTTTTTAAGACAAGTCATGAGGCATACCTAATTATAGATAAATAAATAACAATACAATAAATACGATTTCTAACTAATTTGTCCTTGGATTTTTTAATCTAGGCTAGAAAGAGGCTAGCATCATTAACTAAATTAACTAATGAAGAAAACAAGGAAGAACACAGTTTTTTTTTGTAAGGACAGGAAAGTTTGACGATACTGTGCAGGTTTTTTTAAAGAAGAAATCTCTGACTACTACCTTATTAAAGTAGCAATTGTACAAGCTTTGAAGTTTTTAATTATGCTGAGCACCGTAAAAATGCTTCTTTTCAAAATGAGCTCTTTATCAGACTGTACACTCAACATGTAATCAAAATGAATACATCATTTTATATAAAATAAAATAAACACTATACTTTACATACCTATGTAAAATCCTTATGTAAACTAAGGATAAAAAAAACATTTCAGGTGCAAAACAAATGTGATTAAATGTGGACACAACACAGACTTACTGTCCACAGTTGGCACAGTTTAAAGCGAGTTTGAATTTACTTTCAAATTAAATTTTCTGTGATAAATAACTGAGTTCATCCACCTGTGGCCCCATAGGATAGGGCGGGCTGGTTCATAAAATAATCACTTCCTCATGCTATGTTTTGGTGATTTCTCTAAGAGAGCGTTCCACTACAGATTGTCCATTCGGGTTTATCTGAGCTCAGGACTGGCATTACAATGCGTTTTAAAAGATTGATCTTAATCTAGAATTCAAACAAGTCAACAACCTCACACCATCAAAACACATCTACCACCTTGTTTTTGTTTTCCTCACCTGGCAGAAGATTTTTCGAAGCCTTTCACATTCTCCAGGAGGATGAAATGAGGAAGCTTGCTCAGCCTAGCCAAATATTGGAATATGAAAGTTGAAAAAGAGAAAAAGACAAGCTTCAATGACAAACGGAACGTGAATACCTAGTTTTATTAAATATTTCTTATCTAATATTCCATTTACCCTCAAATCTGAACCATAATTAAAATGAATAAAGATAAACAAAAACATGAGTGAAAAAATATTTTTAAAAATATATATTTTTTAAATCAGATTTTTGGAAAATATACTTTGAATCAGGCTTAACCGTTCAAAATCTTCATGTGAAATGTAATACCTTGGCAAAATATCAAGAATGTAGAGGAAGCTCTTTGTTCTGGGATCGGCAATGTCACCCTGAAGGCCTATTCTGAAGATGGAGATAGAGAAGATGTTGGAAAAAAAGTTTTTAAAAAATACATCTAATACTGACGATTAATGCCCCCCCTAGACTTTTCCCAGACAATGCGTGTAAAACAAAGAGGACCTACCTGGTGAAAGGCTGGCAAGGTGGGCTCATCATTACCATATCGAAAGACAACTTATTAAAGTCATCTAAGCTTATACCCTTAAAAAAAAAGAACACAGAAAGGACAATGCTTTTGTCACACGGGTCATTTTCTTTATTTTCATGACTGTTTAGATTGTAGATTCGCACTGAAGAAACAAGAATGAACAGAAATGAACACTTATTATATCTTAGATTTGTCAAAAAAGCCACCTTTTGCTTTGACAAACTTTCAATTTTTCCCCACAATGTAGGGCTGAGTAGGCACTAATGGTAAATGGCTAAGGTGGGAGATTTAAGAACCATCGGAGGCTGACCAAAGCGTTGAATCTCAACTGAAATACTACACAGCATATAATCTGAATAACAGTAATGTCTTAAAGCTCAATTATTACCAACCTCAATGGTTTTGTTCCAAAGGGGGGTTTCAGGGAAGTTGTACTTGTAGATTTGGTTGGCTGTTGTATTGATATCAACAGCAGCCACAACTTGGGCAGGTATGCCACTCTCTGGGGGAGAAAAAGACGAGACAAAAGCCAAGGCATCACAATACAACACTACTAACCTGTACTTCTATGGATATGCAAGTCCCAGAGACTTTATTTGTGGGAATGACAATACCCACACAAATAACTAAAGTGAGATATGGTTTAACGACTCATTTACACTTGCACTTCAATATGTGAGTTGTTTTTTCGAATCAGCATTTTTGTTTCATGCATGTTGTGTTTTGTGACCACACAACATAAAGCGAGGGTTGTCTTAACAGTAAGACACCCAAACACGTCTGTATGAATTGAAAACAGAAAGAAATCTGGTCTGAATCTGTTTAAGCTTACCTTTTAATGCATAATGCATCCCTCCTATGCCGCTGTATAACTCGAGTACTCGTAAGTCTCCCATAACACGACACGCTTCCATCCGTCACAGCTTCTGTTTTGAGAGGAAAAGGTAAACTCTTCTTCTGCTAGCATTTTTTTGTGGCGGTTGAAAAATCACAAAGATTGCGCACTACTGCCCCCAGCTGATGTCAATAGGAACGTTTTTCTTGTTCTTTTTTTAATTTTAGGTCTTATTTTAGGTCTTATTTTTGAAAATGCTTAGTATTTCTAAACGTGATGTTGAAGAAGAAGAAGAAGAAGAAGAAGAAGAAGAAGAAGAAGAAGAAGA